GGCATGGGAAGATCCATCAGGAAAAATGACAAGTAGTCCATCAGGTCCGCACAAAATAGTTGTCCCCAGAGCAATCAACAAATCTCTCCCTAATAAGTTCACAGGAGATGAGGGGGAACACACAAAAGGATGTGTCACTTTTTGTCTGCCCACAACTGTGTGTAAAGGTGTGGAGATAGGCAGAGTTTGTTTCACCCCAGAAAAACCAACCACTGATATTGTCTGATCAGAAAGTTTTTGCAAAGGAAGGACAACATTCATGGTGGAATATGTTGCCCCTGTATCCACCAAAAATGGCAATGTTTGTCCATCAACCGTCACATCAATCAGGGGATCTGCCAACGCTCCCTGATGCAGGTTCTTCTCAGGGGTGTGTCAATATTCTCCAGTCTGGTAGTACTGGCCAGGATGTTGCGGAAGCAATGCAGCATTCGGAGGTTCTTGTGGCGTCAGGTCCGGCAATGCACCCTCTTGTGCAGATGTATAGTGAGGGCACTGCTGAACCCAGTGACCCTCTTCGCCACAATAAAAACACTTGTCTCTGCGTCTCAAGCCTCGTCCACCCCTTCCTCGCACACCCGACCATGCGGCCGCTCTCCCTCTTCTCCCACGCCACCCCGGAAAACCAGACTGCCAACGTGGAGCTGCATACATGTGAGGACCAGGTTGTGCTACTGCCACAGGAGCCTGAGTAGGAACAGGAACTAATGGAGTAGCAGCTGTTAACATAGCCTTGACCTCCTTCCGGTCCTGTTTTATAAGATGAAGCTTTTGTCTGGCTTCACTTAACTGAAGCCTCAGTAATTGTTTCTTAAAATCCTCCTGCTCCTTCTCTGCCTCTCTCTCCTCATCTTGAGAAATCTGCAAATTATGCAACAAATGCAACTCCCATTTCGCATGTTCACAACCTTTCAACTCCGGGTTTTTTCTCATCAAGGCAGCGACAGAGGGAGGGACACCATCCAAAACAGCTTGACGGAAATGTTCCCTCATTAATGTAGCACCAGTTGGATGAACCCCAGTTTGCCGTCTCCAGATGTCTAAGGCTTTATCTAAAAATATTTTTGGGTGCTCTTTGGAGTCCCATAAAAATTTAGGAATAAGTGAAAGAGACACAGGGGGAAACATGTCCCTCAGGGCCGCACCCACAGGAGTCAGAACAGCTGAAAGAGGCGTATGGTCAGGCTGATTTGTAGTTCCAGCAGACAGTTCAACATCACGACAATTTGTTGTTGTTGTTGAACGACTTAAAATAGCTCTGAAATCTCCCAAAGCTAAGGTTAACCCTCCTATTAGGGAATCCAATGCCTGTAACCAAGGAATAGCACCATCCACCAGAGAGGGTAACTTATCAATAAGGGTCTGCAGATCCCCAAAGGAGAAAGGCTTATATCTCTGACCCTGTTGTGTTACTAATAAGGGCATAACGTGATTAGATGAGCTCTCAGAATGTACTGATGTAGCCTCTGAATGACTCGATAAAGTAGAAATGCATGTGGTCAAATCATCAATATCACGCCGCAGACTCTCCTCCATTTGCAAAAAGCGCTCAGGAAAAGAATCTACGCCAGAGGGGGCAACCACAAACTGAGGTGTGTCAATGTCACAAGGGGAGGGACTAGCCTCCCTACTCTGCAGATCAATTAGATTGGCCCCATCCCCATGCAACCTAGGGGTGGAGGTAAACCTCACAGCACCCCTCACGTGTGGGTGAAAAGATGAGGAGTGTCCTAGAGAAGGCGGAGCTTCCTCTCCAAGACGTCCCACCAGTTTCATATCCATGCTCAGTTGCACCTCCCCCTGTTCCTCCTCCTTAGAGGAAGGGGCTAAGGTGGGGGCGGTGCTGCATGGTTGATGTGTAATACGAGTCATACTTGGTAAAGTCGCAGAAGGAGGCAGGGAAAAACAGAGTTTTTCACGCTGGACGCGATCTGCCATAGGAAGACTATCAGAAACAGGGCAAAAATGTATAAGGGGTGTCGGGGATAGAGTCGTTGACTCGGGTGCCTCCTTTACCGGTGGAGCACCAGAAACAATCGGAGGAGGAGCTCCCACAATATCCCATTCTGCCGTACCCATACGAACATCCAAAACTGGATAAAATCCCGTGTAAAAGGGATTGGTATTATTATATGGAGGCGGGAGTGGAGCATCAGATGGACTATGTAGCTGTTTAGGTTGTTCAGAACACACCTCCGGACGATCTACCCGAGCGTGAAATGAGTCCGAAGTCTGTGTAACTGACCCCTTTTTATAAAGGTGATCCGTTCCCTGCCAACCCACCAGAAGGTTAGCCCACAACTGTCTATCCTGTTCCGCGTTCTCTAACTTTTTAATTAGTCTTTTCTTGCCAAACAGACTAGCTTCATCCTTCTGTAATCGCACTGCATCCCTGACAGCTAAGGCTTGTTTTAAACAATCATTCAAAATCAAACCCAAAGGCTTTGTCACAGTAAGAAGTTCATTCTGTTTGCGAACCGCATTTTCCAACATGATTTTCAGATCAACCGCCTTCAGATGAAGCGAAGCCAAACCAAGCTGCTGATCATAAATACCAATTAAGTCATCAATCTGTTCCCGCAAAGTTTCCCACGGACCTAAACCATAGGAATGGCCAATAACATCTTTTTGCAACTCGGAGTCCATCCTATCGTTACAATAAAAATGCGGCAAAAATCAACTCAAATCAGCACAAACAGCGGTTTTCAGCTTTCCACTCAGCAATCCGCACACAGACACACACACACAGAGCTCTGCAGATTCAGACACCACACACCACAGCAGCAGTCTCAAAAATTGCCACAAACATAGAAATACAGACAACACAAAACACAGTGTCAGACAAGCGGAAAAGACAGAGAAGAAAAAATAAAAATTAAAAATTAGGCGCCGGCTACAAAATATATATGATGCATCAATCTCAGTCCCTCACTTCAGAGCTGGGTCAAGCTCGAGGCGAAAATAAGCCTCAATTTAGTTTATTCGATCAATCAATCCACCCAGTGACAAAAGGTTTTTTTCTTTTTTTCAGCTGGGGAGAGCGATTTAACCCTTATTAAATCAAATAATTTATCTTAGTCCTTTATACTATAAGCAACCCGATTAAGGGTGCCAAACAAAGGTGATCCAACCTGCTATTAGTCCTTTATTTTCCACGAGTGATACAACTCGGTCCAATTAACCCAAATAATTATAAGTCCACTGGAGATGAGTCGAAATCTCCGGGCTGATACAAGCCCCTGCTAATTAATACACAGACACCCGAAATTCTTTTTTAGAGGCACAGGGATTGCTCCTCAGGGTAAAGAATAAATTAATCTTTATTAATTAATTAATTAATCAATCAATAAAACCTTCTTTTAAAAAACCCAGCTTAAGTCAGAGTTAACGTAAAGGCTCTGTTTGAACTAGCCACAGTTCCCTGTAATGTGTATTTATCCAAATCCTTAAACAACCGACTCTTTTAAGAGAGATTCTATCTATTTCTGCAGCTTCTGAATTCTGTGAGGCCGCACACAGCAAATCAGCCCCGGTCCGACCACACGGCGCTTCAGACAACTAAAAAATAATCAAATACGGTCTTACCACACCGAAGCGTCGGGCCGAGACGGATCAATCAGGACCAAACAGCCGCTCGCCGAGACTCCAGAACCGGCACGAGCCCCCAATTTGTTAAGGAAGAAAATATTCTAAATAGTTAACTTTGGAAAAAGGTTGGGTGTTTCTCTTCCTCTCCCAGGTGCGCTCAGCGAGCTGCGTGTGGCCCCCAAGGAAAACCAGCAAGATATGCGAACGTCACAGAATCACAGAATTTAATCCAACAAAAAACAGCTTATGAGTTAACAACAAAACTGCAGAACAACATACATTCAGTTACCTGAGGTAAAGAAAAATAGAAAAAGAGAGGCAAAGACGCGTCTTTGGAGAGAGCTGGTGCAAAAGCAAAAAAGTGGCAGCTATCTGAATTTTTGCCCCTGTGCCCAAAATTTTATAATGTAGATAAGTCCTTCCCTTTAGTATAAGGTCGTCCAGCTTGACCAATTGGAAGCTACTTTGGACACTCAGAAAAACTAATTTACGGCCGGGCCCCCCACTAGATTCTAAGGTCATCTGGCTGTCATGAGATAAAGTTTAACAGAATCGATGTGGAATGTTGAGGGCCCCTTTCCTGCCATAAATTTCAAGAACAAACTTAAATTCAGTATTTTGGTTCAGGGAAAGGTTATCTTCACAGCTCAATCTTGCTCTTTTGCACCATTCCACCCCAAAAGATTGAATCCTGCCTTAAACCACATAGAATCAACAGAACATAAAATACAATTCCTTTTTCTCACATATAAAACATAATATTCAATCTAACATATTCAATTACCCCATTAAACCTATATCCTGAGCAATTTTCTAATAGTAAACAAAACATTTTCATTCAAACAATTTCAATTTGATTCTGATATTCACACAGATAGTACAACTTTCAATTAAAAAACATGATATTAATACTTAGAAAAATGTCTTAAAAACTAAATGTTAATGTTTTAACATTCTACATTTTATTCAGTATTACAGCATCTCAGATGTTTATTCTGGAAGACCTTTGATCTTCTGTAACCCAAGGAGACCTCTCCCCTGAGGCTCAACTGTTATTCACCCCCCAGGAGATACTCATTTTAAGGCCTCCTGTGCTTTGAATACTTACCCATTAGTAGTTTTAAATCATTAACACAGCCTTGTTCAAAATTCAGATATATGGTCAAAATGAAAGTGTTCAACATACCTTTTACACACGCCATAAGATTAACTGTTTTAAAAACTAAAATAATCATTTTTCTTTAACAATACATATTTATTAAGAATTATGATTTTTCCCAGCAAATGAACTATTTATCTTTTATTGAAAAATGGAACAGGATGCGGTTAGGTTTATGTTTGGTTTAGGTTATATTTTTAACTTTTTACTGAAAAGCTTTAAAATCCTGATTGGTTTCTATAAACCCTGACAGCCCCAGAGGTCCAAACAAAGCTTGGCAGACTGAAAGGCCAGTATGTGAGCGTGAAGGGGAAGGAGATGGGTGTCCATGCCTTCCTAGGTGTCCCCTTTGCTAAGCCCCCCCTGGGACCCTCCCTCAGACTGGCTGCACCTCAGCCCCCAGAGGGATGGTCAGGATTGAGAGATGCCACCAAGCAACCCAAGATGTAAGTTTTTCTCCAGTTTTAGGAAACTTTCAACTGGGTATTCTCTTTAGTGTTCACAAAATGATCTATCTGGCAGGTGCATTCAAAGCAAGGAAACTGCTAATGAGCTACTGGAAAAACTTGGTACCCTGAACTTAGAAGTCCCAGAGCTTTCAGAAGACTGTCTGTACCTCAACATTTACACTCCTGCAAACAGAGATCCTGATGTGGAGCTTCCTGTAAGAAACTTTTGCTTCAAGTAGGAATGCATTTTTTCACTCCATTTTCAGATTTATCTTGTGTCCAGGTGAGGGTTTCAGGTAAGAGACAATGGGAGTGATGAGAATCTGTATATTGCATTGTACAGGGGCAGTGTTTAAGCTTTACACAATTAGAGGGTTGATGGTTCAAACCCCAGCTTTGTTTCTGTCCTTAGCCCCTTTTACATATTTCTGTTTTGAAACTGTGCTGAGAATGGTCCGAGCACGGTAACTGAGATAACTGAGTGTAAATGGCATGCAGACGTGAACTAGACCGTGCCAGACACAACAGGACTGCGCTAAACTTGTACTAGTTCATCAGTAGGGCTTGGCACAGTTCAGTTCTGGTACCGTTCTCTGACAACAAAGAGCGCATTCATCAAAGGCTGCCTTCTTCACTTGACTTTCTGCAAACTTACTAAATGTTATGGGTGCTGCCATGTTAATTGGCTTGTTTACCTCTAGAGAGTAGCAGTACTGTAGATCACCACTAGGAGACGATGAACCGCGCTGGCATGGTGTGTAAAGGGTCATAAGGAACCGAGCTCGGCACGGATGGGTTTTCAGAGGGTAGTGTAAATGGGGCTAGTATAACCTTTGGCAAACCCGCATTGCCTTCTGATGTTGGTGGGAGGGCCCTGTGATGCCTGTGTTAGGCAGCCTCACTTCTGATAGTAAAGCCCGCCCAAGGAAAGTTGTGGCTACCATGTATGAATGATTAAATGTAGCGTACAGCACCTTGGAGTCTTCTGTATACAAGTACAGGTTGTTTACCATTTTATTTTTCTCAGGAATGCTTTGTGAATAAACACAGCAAATCATTGCATTTAAACACCTGTTCCATCCACCCTATATAAGAGTGTGAAAAATTTTCCTCAGGCAATAAACTTAACTGTTCATGGTGACTTCTATGATGGCAAGCTCGTCGGGCCTTACACAGCACTCTCTTGCCATGACACTTCCACTTCCATGTGTCCCAGATGAAAATAAGGCAGATACTCAGTTCAGATGTAAAGATCACTTTAAATGATTCTTCATCCAAGAAGTTCCTCTCTGTTTATACACCCTTTTGATTAATACATTTTTTTTAAAGGTTTTCTGTTCTTGGGGTGAACCATTTCAGAATATGGTTGTGGATATGGCAAAAGGAAACTAAGCTTTGTGGTTGATTGGTTGTAAAGTAAAAGTATAATACTGGATTTTGTATTGCAAATACTTGGGTTGTCATGAGATCAGCTTGATCTGAAAGGACAACGGCAACAATAAGAAATCTGTAAGGGCCTGACTACTTATGTAAAGGCAGCGGTATGCTGTAAAATGACAATAGTCAAACGGTAAATTGCTGTATTTTTTTTTTTTTTTTTTCTTTTCTACAGTGTCCTGTCTGGCAAGGTGGCAATAAAAATAATTGTCTTGATGCCAAAAGGAGCCCAACAGATTTTACTTTCACAAGTGTAGCGGTATCGCAGTTGCCATACTGCTCCACTTGTTTCATGTATATAAATTGCTTTATTATAATTATGCAGGGAGTTTTACAGTTCATATGGACACTGCAATGTAAGTAGAGCAGAAAAACAGAAGAAGAAGAAGAAGGAAAAAGAAAAAGAAAAAAAAAAGGACAAAAGATGAAAGAAAGAGGAGATAGGAAGGAGACAATGACAAAACATTTTCAGTCTGCTTCATCACCTGCAATGAGATGAAAAAAAAAAAAAAAAAAAAAGAACAGCACAACCAAAAGACATGGTACGAGATATACAATAAAGCAAACACCTTGAAACTATCGCTAAAGTAATATTATTAAGTCTGACATGTACTCTGTGTTACCTGAAGTTATGAAAGTGGGGTTTCTGTTTGGAAGTGAATCTCTAAGTACCTGAAGCCTAGCACCTGTAGTTGTTTGTGAGGGTGAACTTGTGCATGTAAAGTTTTAACCATAGAAAAAATGCTCAATAGTGGTTGTGGAGAGCCGGAGAGGCACACCCCCCAGAGCACTGAGTCCAGCGCCGGGAGACCCAAAACCCCAGGCGCCCAAAGGGACCCCAGAAGCGAAGGCACCGAGGCGTGGCCAGCCCCGGAAACCAGACCCCCACCAAGGCAGGAGGAGAGACAGCCACGAAGAAGCCCCCCAGCCACCGCCATGTCGGCACCCCGGGGAGCCGCGGGGACGAGTCCGCGGGCCCCGCCGGCAGCCGGCCACCCCGAAGTAGGGCCGGGCACCGATCACCAGCCCCCCCACGGCGCCGACCGAAACGCCCCAGCCCCACAGAGCACAGAAACACGCCCCGCCCCCCGGCACCAAGCCCCGGCGACCGGCCGCAACACCCACCGCGACCGCACCACCCAGGAAAAACACTCAGGCGGCCCCACCCCCGGCCGGGGCACACGCGCCGCGGGACCCCCCCAAAACGCGCCCCCGGCCAAAAGCGCAGCCCCACCCCACCAAGACCGATGCCAACAGCGCGCAACGAAACACACCGCGCACAGAATCAGCCCGAGAGCAGAAAAGCCGCCCGGCGCAAAACCGCAAGAAGAGCAGACCGGCGCAACCACCCCCCCCAGCAGCCCGAGGGGCAGCACAAAGCCAGAGCGGAGCGAACCATGCCGCCCCCCCCCACCGGACGAAGCCAAAGCAGCTCAGCCACGTCCGCCGCCCCCCCCCGCCGCCCGCACCAGGCCCTGACACGCGCCGGCCATAGCCACTCCAGGCCCCCACCCGCCCCGCAGCCCCACCCGCCACGATCAGCGGGAACAGAGCAGCCCCACCATGCCTCCAGGAGGGAAAACCCACCCGAATACCCAGCCAGCGCAGCCAGCCCGCCCAGACCGGCCCCCCAACACCACCCCCGCCGGAGCCGCCCGGACCCCCACACGCCAGCGGCGCACCGCCAGCAGGACCCCCACCCAGCAGGCCCGCCCGCCCCCCGAGAAAACAGACATGCCAAACCCCCCAAAAAAAAAAAAAAAAAAAAAGGAGCCCCCACAATGCGACAGCGGACACCAGACACCGACCCGCCCGCAACCGCTCCCCCCCACCGAGGAAGAGAAAAAAAAAAAAAAGAAAAAAAACATAAATAAATAAAAAAATAAATAGGTAAATAAATAAATTAATTAATTAATAAAAAAAATAAAAAATAGGCAAGAGGAGAAGTGCGAGCGGAAAAAACCGGAGCCCAAAACAGGACCCAAGACCTGCACCCATGCCGTGCACCCCCCCCCCCCCCCCCACCCCCCCCCCCCCCACCCCCCGAACCGATACCACAGAACCGAAAGAAACACCGCCCAGGAACCGGCATCGTAGCGAAGGCACCAGCACCGACCCCGAAAATCCCCGAACAACAGCCAGCCCCACCCGGAAGCGGATCCAGTCCCAGGCCCCAGGGATCCGAGGCCCCAAGGGCACCCGATCCCCAGACAGGAGCCCCAGCAAAGCCCCGGCCGGCCGGGGCCAGCGGAGAGGCCGCCAGGAATGAGCCAGCAGTCCCCCGGGCATCCACCCTCAGCTCCACCAGTGCACCGGTGAGCCCCGACGCCAGCCAGCGGAGGGAGAGCAGGACGGGGGGAATGGGCTCCGCACTTAGCGGAGACTTGAGATGTATTTGGGAGAGGGTGCGGTTGAGACCCCAACCTGGAGAAAAAAAAACAAAAAAAAACAAAAAAAAAACACACCATCTCAATCATGCCTTCCCTCCCTAGTGCCCCCACTCGTACCACAGGAAAAAAAATAAAATAAATAAATTTTTGAATAAAATAATAATAATAATAAATAAAGAAAATAACAACGCGGACACCCATTCACACATAACACTCACATCCAATAATACCAGGACCAAAAACCCGGTGACACCGGTGGTCGGTCCCGGGACTATCGGATGACCCTATAAATGAACCTAAAATCCGGACGTGAGGGGAGGGGAGCGGCGACACCGCCACACCAACCCATCTCTTTCCTGCTTCAAGCCCGGCCCCCCACCCCGCACACGGACCGGACCACCCCCAGCAAGAGCCACCCCCTGGGACCGGGGCCCACCCATCCCGCGCCGGCCACCCAACCAAATTGCTGTAAATTAATGGAGCTTTCCTGCATATACTAACAGACCTGCTTCTTTACCTCATGAGAATAATGTGCTGATTGGTGTTTAAGCTAAGCGTTAAAAATTTTTATGAGATTAATACCTCAAATTGCTTTTCAGGTCATGGTGTGGATCCATGGTGGAGGTTTTGTAGTTAGGTCTGCTTCAACATATGATGGTTCTGCTCTGGCTGCCTATCAGGATGTGGTCCCAGTTGTAATCCAGTATCGACTGGGAGCTTTGGGTTTTCTCAGGTATATGGGTTACTGAAACCCAATTTGAGCATACCAGGATTGCATTTGGCTTGTTTAATGTAAATGATTCTGGATCATATGCAGCGCTGGAGATGAGCATATTCCAGGGAATATTGGCCTTTTGGACCAGACCCAAGCCCTGAGGTGGGTCAAGGAGCATATTCAAAACTTTGGAGGAAACCCAGATTTGGTCACCATATTTGGTGAATCTGCTGGTGGTATCAGTGTCTCACTTCTGGTATGAAGTCATTTGTCATAAATTATGTCTTGGCAATAAACAATTTTTAATTTAATCATCTATTTAACCATTCAGCTTCTGTTTCCCTTGTCTGATGGCCTGTTTCATCGAGCCATTGCTGAGAGTGGAACAGCTGCAATGGATGTGCTTTGGAACAATCCTGTACCAGTGATGCAGGTTAGTTGTCGGCCTTTTTTTCTTTCTCTAATTCTTCAGTTTAATTTGATTCCAAATGAATGAATATGCGTTTTTCTACAGGCCGTAGCAAATGCCTCAGGCTGTAGCCTGGAAAGCACAGAGAAGATTGCTGCATGCATGAAGAACCTTGATATTGGCACCATATTGGCATTTGACAAGGTGAGATGTTAAATGGAAAATTTGATCTCATTCTACTACATTTTAACGCGTCTATTTTTTTCCCCCCAAGGATCCATTTTTGAGATTTCCTGTGAATGCTGATGGGCACTTCCTGACTAAACCTGTGCCTGAGTTGTTCCAGAATCATGAACTCATTACTATACCAATCATGACTGGGGTTAATAATCATGAAGGTTTTGTTGTTGCTGATGTTTTTGTTTAATTTTTTTTTATAGCATTTGCAAAGGTCTTCTGTTGGATGTGTTACTGGTTTGATTCTCTTCTTGTAGCACTTTGGACCTCTAAATTGGACAGAAGGAATGAGTCGAGAGCAGGTTGCGAAGATGCTGTCCATTTTTTACCCCCCTGTGAGATCCTCTTTGCCTGATATGTCGATGTTGCTTTTTCCTCCGGAGGATTTTCTTTTATTTATTTATTTTTTTTCTCTCTGAGGCCCAAGAAACAGCCATCAGAGATCTGATTCTGAGGAATTACATTGAATCTGGTGAAGATCGCACCCGAAACAGAGATGGATTCACTGAGTTTATTGGGGATTACTTTTTTTAACATCCCAGCCATTAAAATAGCAAATTCACACAGAGGTATTTCAGTCCAGGCAAAAATGATGCCTACTGGTTCAGTATTGGGTATTTACTTAATTTTCTAAGCAAACATTTTACTTTTATTTTTATGCACTTCACTAGATGCAGGAGCTGCTGTGTACTTGTATGAGTATCATCACGCTCCCACGTGCCTGCAGAAAAGAAGGCCCAGCTTTGTTAAGTGTGACCATTTAGATGAAATCTTCATGGTGCTGGCATACTGATTCACAACTACACACGTAAAATTAGCTGGTAACTGAACTAACTTACCCTAGATATTCAGTGTGTTTATGTATTTTTACCTAATAGCTTTGCTGTTAACTGATTTAGATCCATGTCCCAAAGAGGAGGAAGAGTTTAGCAAAATCATGATGAGCTATTGGGGTAACTTTGCTCGCACAGGGTAAGAGTTACTGATTATTCAGATTTTTTTTATTATTATTATCCTGTTTAATGTTTTTTTGCTCGTAGGTCTCCAAATGGAGAGGGTCTTGTCAACTGGCCCAAGTATGGAGCAGATGAAAAGTATCTGTCTCTTGACCTGAAGAAGCAGGTGTCTGCTCAATTCCTCAAGAAGGATAATTTCCTCTTTCTGACCAAAACTCTGCCAGAGAAGATCCAGAAGCTTGAGGAGAAAATGGAGCACAGCGAGCTGTAGTATGGCTTCATGGAGAATAAAAAAGCTGTTTTTACCAGATTCTCCACATTTTTAGTAATGACGTTTTCAAAGGATGCATTACTAAAAAACAACAGTTTTTTTGTCTTTGCTGTAAAAAAAAAAAAAATGCATTGATCAAAGTGCTTGCTGTTATAGATCTATTCTGCTGTTTTTCTACAGTTAAGCGCTTCAGAATAAAATAAAGAGAAAATTGTAAAATTAAGAGTCTTAGGATTTCATTAGAAAAATACCTCCTGGTATGTGAAAAAAAAAAACTGCAATTGCTTGATAGTGACCCAAAGAACCATCAGCTAAAGTACATGATTTTTTTGTTTTCTTTTTTAAACTGATTAAAAGTAAAGAATTTAATTGCTTCAATGGACTTTTCTGTTAAGCATTCTGATCTAGCACATATAATTTTATTTTGCAGTACGTCTTTGGTGTGGGGCCAAGATTAATTCTTCAGGGGCACTGGGCCCTGTTGGCACCCATCTAGAACCACCCATGCTAAATAAATCGAGACCACCCACTCCTCGTAAAACGTAACTTTTTTAATATTTTAGTTCTTTAGATGATGGCATTTCATATCAGCAGTTTAACAAATTTGTAACTCGACTCTCCAGGTAAGGGTTATTCATGGCCATATTAAAAATTAAAAGCAAGAAAAACTTTCTTGCAAGAGTTTTTAGGCAGCTTATTCTCAATAGAAATCAACATTAAAAAACTACATTTTGTAATCTGATTATAATTGATCTGAAATATTTGAGTGGAACAATAAGGAAAACATTGCTATAATCACTGCTCTATAGCCTTTTTCTAATGAGGCAAATGGAAACATGATTCCCACAAAAGAAGAGATTTTAATCATTTTTATTACCGAGTGCTTCAGCTGAAAAGCTCCCTGATATTTGATGTGAGCAGTTCAAAAGGTCAAACCTAAAGCTTCAAATGAAATCAAGCATAGGGTATTGATAAAAAGCAACACACTTTAAAGGCAAATCATATTATAGGGGTTCAGAGTTTCAATAAAAAGATGACATGAAGTTTAAGGATGCTTCGACAGGAAACTGGTTTGCAGATGTTTGCAAAATCGCTGGCACTGGTTTGTACGGCTGAATCCCAAACTGCTCTGCAACCACTAACACTTAACTATCAAGTCACACTCGCAGCTGTGGAAGGCCCCTTGATTGTAGGACCCTCAGAGGGAACAGTGCAGCAGGGCTAGCTTTTAGGGGGCAGTTTGGGATTGGGCCTATGATTTACCAACCTGCCCAGAAAAGTGCACTTGGAGTAAGAAAGCTACTGGGCATCACCAACAGATGGCCATAGTGAAATATATGCAAAGTTACTTTAAACTTCCAGTTGCACTTTCAGTTGTTGGGTCTGGGCAATGATCAGCACTTAAAATCATCCGAAAGGAAAAAGCTTTGCCGCTACTAAAGCCAGGCAAAAACGCTGTCAGCCAGGAGAACACATTGTAAGAATGGAGGCTTTACAAAACAAAACAAGTATATTTGGATACTTCATTTTAAACTACTGTATAGATTACCTACTGCATTACAATACATCTTTCCAGCTTTTATAATAGGCTAATATGTTGGATGCGGTGACAGGTTTGATGCATTACCAGAAAATGATGGGTTTCCCCCCCCCAAGATCAATCTTCCAATGTTGAGCTTGATCAAATGTAAGCCTGAACTCTTACATTTGCCAATTTTGCCATTATCACGTATTTCTTTGCTGAATATACCAAATGAAACCAAATATATCTTAGGACTTGAAACCAATAGAAGCACCTGAGATGTCCTTCTTTTAATTTACCAATTTAAAACAAAACAAGGCATGCTGCTTTATACAAACCAACCACCTTTAGATCATGGTTTCAAGTGCAGTGTTGATTAGATCTTAAACGCAGCACTCACTCGAACATGTTCGGCACTGAGGCTGGTATAATACTATGATATAACAGAATACATTGAACACCTTTATCTGCTTCAAGCACTATCTGGTACAGACGTGGATCTGGAATCACAGGCACATACAGTCTGATCTTTTAATGGTCATATAAGCGGTACCGGTACTGTTTTGTCAGTAGGGAATAAATAAACCTTTATGTAACCCGTTCTCATGCTGCGCTATTTAGGTTAAGGTCGTAATAGGTCGAGGCGATAAACAGTGACATGGGAGGCCCTTCAGAGTGCACGTGTAGAGGAAATATAGGTATGTTAGGTCAGGGTGACACAAGCAGGTAGAATTGCGCAGTAAAATCCAACCTCAAACAACATTGAGGGTTAAGGTCACGAGATATCAGGACGTTGACGTCCTCATCAGAGGCAAATCAAGTGTAAGGGTTAATTTGCTTAAAGCTTGATGCATCAAGATGTCCAAGACTGCATGTTGCGCAGCATAGCCTCAAACCGCTCCATGTTCGGGGCGTCAGCGTGGGGCAGGTGGTCTGTCAGCCGACTATACAGGCTGAAAGACTTCAACTCCAGCCAGATGAAACCAAAACGGTCCTCATCGAAAAGCACAAAGAGCCCTGGTGTGCGCTCTGGACTCGTGAAGCCGTGACCAGCAATCAGGCCTGTTCCATAGAAGCTGAAACACAAAAAACATCAATATTAAGAATTCAGGGATGGTTCCAAAAGAGAACCTAATGATAAAGTGGCAAATCAGATTTAAAAACATTGATCAAGTTATATTCCGTCTAAATCCTGATTCTTAGGATTATGGAGCTCATAGCTATGGGCGCATCAATTGATTGGCTGGTTGATCAATCAGCTTTGATTTACAGAGATCGCTAATTTATCCATACTTGGTTGTGAAACTGATCTCATTTACTTCTGGAAATGTCTGAAAATATGCAAACATATAAATTGTTAATTTATATTTAGGAGAATTATGTAATTTGCAGTTAGAACAAGCCTTCATTGTTTAAATTAAATTTCATTTAAAAACTCAGCGTAAAAATGAGTTCTAGTCAATAAAAAATAATGGTCAATATCTGAATCTGTTAGCCTTTTCTTTCTCTTTTTAATTGCATGAAATTGATGACTGTATTTACATATATGTGTTATAATGGTGTATTATTAACTCCATTTATAATTAAATGAATTTATTCTGCGCCAAGAATTTCTTATTACATAAGGCTAATCACCCGTTTACAAAGCGCGATGACAGTCTGCCATCCTGAAAGTACAGAGGCCGGCGAGGGATAAGCTAGTATTGATGCGTGTTTCCTCTTGCTGGTAGTTTAGTGTGATTAAGAGGCGGCCGTGACGATTATTTGGAGATGCTAACTCAACAACTGACAATCTGCACTACTGCAGCACAATGCAGGACCATGCATAAGCAGCACAAGAGAGTTTCAACATTGGCAAGAAAGTGAAAGAGAACTTAAGACAACAAAAGCCTTCTCCAAGTAGAAGGAGCTGAAGGAGAGATTTCAAAAGGGACGCTGAAGTTGCTACGTTTCTCCTCTAAAAATAAGTGAACTGCCTAAATTAAAGCTAACTTTTTTTAATCAGTTAGATTAGACAGTGTTTGTTATTACCTTAGAACGCATACCAGTGGATCCCGCAAACTTATACCAATGTAGCTGGTACAGAATCATAGGTTTATGTGGGTTTAAAAGCTTTTAAAGCCATGGTGATTGCTGGCTTTTTGTCACAATAAATGCAAGTTTGTAGAGACTTGATGTTGGCTTTCAGCCCGCCTTCACCGTGATGATCACAGCTACTGAAATTGGATTCAGACTTGAACATCCAAAAACATTTAAAGACAATTACAAGGTCGGTTTTCTATCACCTGAAGAACATTTCCAGGATTAAAGGACTAATGTCTCAGCATGATCTGGAATAACTAATCCATGCGTTCATTTTTAGTCGAATTGATTACTGCAACGGTGTTTTCACAGGTCTGCCTAAAAAGTGGATTAGACAGCTGCAGCTGATCCAGAACGCTGCTGCCTGTGTCCTCACTAAGACCAAGAAAGTAGAGCACATCACCCCGGTTCTAAAGTCCTTACACTGGCTCCCTGTATCTCAGAGAATAGACTTTAAAATACTTCTGTTAGTTTATAAATCTCTGTATGGCTTAGCACCTAAACACATCACAGTATGCTATCAGTGTATCAACCCTCTAGACCACTCGGGTCTTCTAGCTCCAGCCTACTCTGCATACCTAGAACCAGAACTAAACATGGAGAAGCAGCATTTAGTTCCTATGCTCCACTTATCTGGAAAAAACTTCCAGAAAACTGTAAAAGTGCGGAAAGCTTGAGTGCTAATTTCGTCCAGGCACTGATTCCGTCAACTGCACCGTCCCTCCCTCATACACACTCACAGCTGCTGCTAGAGTGAGTATGGAGGTGGAGGAAGAGTAAAAAAGTATGCAGTTTACTTCATGTTGAGCTGTGATTTTGTTAAACTACATTTTTTGCCCCATGACAACAAACGTCTTTGTGTTGACATGCTGTCAGAGCGCATAAAGGAGAGCAGACGAGTTTTATATGCGCTAGTTTTGGCGACCATATGAGCGTTTTAGCTTGTGTACGTTTTAACTCGGTGAAATAAATATAATCTTAAAAGGAAGATAAGATTATCATATTGTGTCCAACTACACTTCATGCTGACAGAAGTTAATGTTTTCATTAAACTAATTTTTAAAAGGCTCCAACTTATATATTTAATTATATTCCTGTTTGGATGTTTTAAAAGCTATGTTCTGTTTCTTTGTCTTGAATCATATTTTTGGTTATTATGAGAATTTGATTTGGACTTTAATTGAGCACTGTAAATCTTGTGTATGGCCATGTTCAGTTTTTTTTTTATATTCTGGCCGATAAATAGTATATTGTATATGGTATCACTTTTTTAAAGTCGGTCCAGCTCTAGTCTCTAAAACTTTTCACACTCAACACTACCCAGCTGAACTATATTTGGGTAAATCAAAAAACTAACATTCTAGGTAAAAATTCAATTTCAAAAGAAAAAAACTTTCTCCCACTCTCCAAAAATACGAAACCCCACCCAGTACAAACAAAGGTATGAAAGTAATATTGGAGTTTAAGGTGAAATGCCACCCATTATCTGAGTCCTCACCATTTCCTGCAGGTGCGAGGGTACACCTCATTGCGAGCCATGACCCCTAAAGGCAAAACAAAGGGCTGAGCTTCAGGATGATGGCTACTACTGCTGGGCTCAGACTGGGATGCATCTGCACAGGCACCATGGTCATCATCTACTACTTTAGCAGCAGCAGCACCTGCTTCCTCCGCTGGATGTCCTGCACTAGCAGAGGAGTCGCTAGCCGGCCGTTCCCCCTCTCTTTGTACTTTCTCATGTATTCCTGATATAATCCGTGACAGCACATCAATGTTTTTCTGTTGGTCTAACTCCGGGAGGTCCACAGGCTGGCTCAGGTCGACGTCCAGTGTGAGTTGCCCTGCAGGAACGTTTGGGTCTCCCTAAAAGAAGGATGAGGAAAAAATAATTTACAAACTATAAGATTAGCTCAAAGCAGAGACAATTCAAAGAAAGATTCTCAGCAGAAGAAAACTTAAACTAAGGTCAGAAGTGGTCTTTTTCAGAACGTTTTTGAACAATTTAAGGAGAATTTTCCATTTAATAATATGAACCAATTTTTCTATCAGTCTGACAGAAATGACTGGGAAACGTACAGTAAGTTTAGTGGCTCTTGCAGAAGTCCCATGGAAACTAAGCATGACGATCTCCAAGCCGTGACTTCCATATGTGCCTTTAAATAAGCCTGGCTCCAGCAGATCTGAAGGCATTGATGGAGGCAGGTAGATCCGCCTGTACGTCAAGCAGTTACTGCAAAAAGAAAGCACAGAAGCCTCTGGTTATCCAAGATGTTACCGGAGCCCAACAGGAAGAGAATAAATGTATTAAAGACAAGCAGTCATACTCATATTGACTTGTGTAAATGAACTTCATCAGGATCAGCTCCTGCATGTGTTCATGGAAGATTTCCTCCAGTGTGCGACCCCATTCTTCCTCTAACCAAGTCCTAAATTCCTGCATGAAAACACGGCAAGAGCACTGAAGTATCTCGCTAGAGAATAATTAAACTTTAAATTCTGTATTTCCTCAGGTTATAACCAGAAACATTTATTCTATTTATGCGATAAACACAATGTGGAGTGGAAGAAAAAAAATGGAAAAAGTATTTTATATTTCATATAAAATCCTAATATATACAATAATATAATATACAAAACAAATCTAAGGATTGGTAAACATTTTTTTTTTTAAGCCCCAAACGTAAAAAACTAACATCAGAAATCTGTCCATAGAAGTTCATCAGAAAACATTAATCCCTAGAGTTTCTGCCAGATTAGAACAGAACAGATCTAGTCTTAGACATCACTATGAACATCAACCCCTTCAGTAATGCATAGCGGGGAAAGAATCATGCTGTGGGGTTGCTTTCCTTTGGCAGGAATAAGAAACTTGGTCTGAAACACAAACGTGGTGGAGCTAAATACAGGAAAATTTTGAAAGAAATCCAGTTGGAGGCAAATTGATAACATTCCAGTGGGATTTAGATTATAAATGCACAGCCAGAGGTACGATGTAACGACTTAGACTGGCCAGGTCAGTGAATATGTAGAACAGTAAATCAAGCCTTTTTTAAAGAAACTAAAACATGGTTCGGCCTCTATGTACTATGCAAGTATTTTAGGTCTGCTACTACGATTATTTTGCAAATCGATTAATCTGTCAATTATTTTTTTGATTAAAAAGCGGATAGCCAAAGGTTCTTTAAAGGAGATCTTTTACGAAATTAAACCAGGTGAACCTAAATTTTTCTACTTGAGGAGTTCTGAAAAGAGCATATGGACAGACGAAAACATTGTTTTGTTTTAAATGCAAAATGTTTATATATATTTTTACTATTCTAATATAGTTACTGCTCTAAGTGGATTGCTCTGTCAGCTAAAGGCGTGTTTTACAGTCTATACTCCAGTTACCGATTAATTGATCACTAAATTAGTTGACGATTATTTCTTTTATCGATTAATCCGATTAATGATTTCAACCCTAAAATATTTAATACAGAAATAAGTAGTATTTGTAATTCAGCATGTTCATCTATTAGATGGTGGAGTCAAAGGTCTGATTTAAATACACCTGAGAACTTGTAACCAGGCTTGAATATGGATATAAACAAATGCTCTCAGTCAGACTGAGTTTTTTTCTTCTTTCTTTTTAGAAAACACAGATTTGACAGAAATCTCATTAGAGACATACCTCAAAAATAAGGATGCCTCTACAGTGTATTAAACTCAGTTGGGTGGAATTTAAACAGTAGGCCATTTTCTTTTTTGAAAGGTTACTTTTAAAAAATCAAACAAAAAAGAAACCCTTTTCCCTTCACTTTAAAGTTATTTTCTACTTTGTGTTGGTCTATTTCATAAAATCCAAATACTTTTAACTATTTGTATTGAGTTGTGTTAAAAAGGTAAAACAAACAAAAAAGAAGTGAAAACAGGTCCAAACTGTCTTAATATCTAAGATTTGGTAGGAACAGTTAGACTCACCTCCTGTCTGCCTCCTGGCATCCGATGATGATCGGTCTGGTTACATTTAGTTGAAAATTCATCTTTCTTTACAGTCTAAAATAAGAGAATACAGAGACCAATAATAGTTTACAGGAACCCACCTTAAATCTTTAGAGTTTCTTTCAGGTTTTTACCTGGATGTCTCCTTTGTGGGGACCTTTATGTCCATACATACACTCCACAGTGGCCTTTTTGCTTTCCAGCAGGTGAATGCGAAAAAGTGGTCTCCTTCTCATCGGATCTTCCACGCGGGGATCATGAGGTGGTAGATACATCCAGCCAATTATGAATAAACCATCCACCTATGTGAAACATTGGTCGAGTAATTTATCTTAACTCTAAAAAACAACAACTAATAAATACACAAACTGTCACAAAATGGTTTTATCTTTTCATTTGGCAGACGATTAACTCTACTGCGGTTTCCTCGTCTTACTGAGAAATACCAACCACAACGTTGAGCAATCCACCGTAAGGTCCGATGTCAGGCTGCCAAAGCCCTAGAATGTGTCTATATGGGTGAAGTACTGCAACAGAAGAGCACAAAAACACCACATTGTTATCGGTTCCATCAGTACCACACTAGTTAATCACCGGAGCATTAAAGGTATACTGGAGGTTTTTCGCAAATTTTTTAGTAGACCCACCCTCTGCACTTAAAAAAAAAAAGAGCACATGCACAAACCTGTACCCGCTCCCAATAGGGAATGTCTAATAAATGTGTGCGAGAGCATGCACGAAACTATTCCTCTTAGTGCACGCTCTGTTTGAAGGCGTGTGACGCTATTCTACTCATCCACAAGTTTCTGTCTGCTGCTGTTCTGTCACACCAGCATACCGTGTCAGACCAGCATACCCATAATTGATATGCATGCGAACGACGTCACATTTCCATACGTCTGAGTGGAAGGAAGTCTACTAGGCTACTTTATTCATTCGTGATATAATAAACAAAAAGTTATAGTTGAAGGTAAACACACAAACTTACCAGAAAAACATTCTGAAAGTCAAGTAGGCTAGTTTATTAATGTGTGATGTAATAAAAAGTTTTAGTCGGAGGTAAACAGAATTTAAAGCTAAACTGCTTTAAACATAGACAGCCCTGCTTTCTGTGTTCACTACTTCACACCCTGACGTAGCAGCTAACCTGTCAGATTGCCATACAACAGTTAAGTGTACGCTGATCTTGACAGGCTGATCTGCAAATGTGACAGAAGTTGTTTAAATGTCCCTTTCTGCATGCGTTCGCATGCGTATTACTATGTGTATGCTGATCTGACAGAACACCGCCCTTGCTTGCAGATGGCTGCACTCTCGAAGGTGCACAGGCCAATCAGGAGGAGGCTCACAGAAGAGGTACGTCTCTGCCCCATCTGTCAAAACGCGCTTTGCTTCGCGTGAGGAGAAAATCAGCGTGAGTACAGGGCGCGTTGGGCGATGGGTGCGCCTGCAAAGGGATTTTCTCCCCCGAAAGCTGAAGTTCCTCCTGCATGTGGGATATTTTCCGTGATGGTTGATGAACTCATGTTTCAAAGTGGTTTAATATACTTGCAAGTATGTTTATTTTGCTCTCGGATATTTTGACATAAATGTGACAAGATACATTTTTATTTTTCGATAAAGCACAGAAATATTACTTGTTTGAAAAGCCCTCCTCTAAAAACTTGTAGACCATTTTAAAAGGCAGGTGTGGGCTAGCTTCTTCACATCTGGCAAAAAGAGGTTAAATATGGATCTGGAATTATGCTAGAAGCTTCTTTTCATAAAAGGTGTGCAGCCCATGTGCAACATGCTGAGGGATATGCAAATATTTAAGACTGTATGTAGAGTTTTAACCATATGTGGATTAGATAAAAGCCACAATAAACCAAGCAAATTTTAGGCTTTCATAGAAGTCGTTTGTTGAACAAACAAGTTTTAAGTAAATCATTAAGAGCGAAGGCTAAATCTATAATTCATGATGTGAGTACTGAAGCTTTTAGTTTGCACTCCGTGTTCAAGATAGCTGAGTCGCAAAACAGCACAAGTAGAAAACCAAAGACCTGGCTCCCCTTTTGGTAGCTAGAAGGCAGTGCAGTCAGCATAAAGCCAAGTGAGCCATCGTCACAGAATCTACAGCGGTGCTTCAACTGCCAGTCTTTTTAATACTGTTACACACAACCCGTCATGCTGCAGCAATCCACATACAGTGCGTGTACACGTCTTTATAGTCCATATGCTCGTAGTCGGGCAGGAGTTTCATAAAGCGCCCAGACTTCACCCGTGGGATGACACCTGTACAAGCAAAACACAGGCATGTATAGAACAGCAAGACAACCAGGGTGGGTTCAGCCCAGGGCAGCGCTCGCATGATAACTGGCAAAAACAGCTCCTTATTAGAGAAAAAAAAAAAACGGAGAATATGTTTGATATTTCTGATTTCATACAAATGAGGAACAGATTAGGTACGAAGACAAGGTTAGCTTTCTATAAACGTAACTCATCGGACGGTTAGTGGGACAGAAAAAACACAAACGTGCTTTATATTAAAATATAGCTTTCCCGTTCCATTTAATCTGAGAAGCTATTTTGCATGAATAGAATGAAAAGGTGTTAAATGAATGGAATGTTCCAGAGGGTTTCATAAAGGAAAAAAGCGGTGAAACGAACGTTTAACATAAAGGTCTTTGCTGGTAACTCCTCCTGCTTCCATCTTTCTCAGATCCTCCTTCATCCCAAACTCTGCAAAACAAAAACAACATTAATTCATTGTGATATTAATCAGAAATTCATGTCAAAATATACAAAAGAGCAGACATTATAATCCAAACATTTCCACAGTGTACAGATCTGCACGGAACCCAATGAGTAGCCAAAATAGTGTTGTCAACAAACTCAAATGATGGTCGAGTAATGTTCTAACTATAAAACAGGGTCAGCTGAACAAAGTATGCGTGGGGCAGCCAAAGGAGACCAGCAGCCTGAGGTCATAGATCAGGACTTACAGCTAATAGAAATTATCTAAAATGTCCAGCTATCAACCAGATTTTATTGTGTTAATCTGGAGAAATTACTGTACAAAAAGGTCTAAATGCAACAATAGAATAGTGCACCAGCAAGAAGGCTATTAATGCATCTAAAAAGCAGGAAAAAGGAACTAGATAGATTAAAGCCGCAAGCGGCGTTGGAAGGTTATTGCTACCACGGGAGCCGAGCAACCGCAGCATCATTGCTTCTTCCTAGCCAGAAAAACAAGTTCCACACTTCACCATTAAAATAAAAGCTGTTACATAAGGCTGAATTATAATTAGAGAGAGTTGTTTGATAAGTGGTTTCATAACAGGAGCGATAGTTCTGTGCATGTTATGGTAATTGGATTATCTGACTAGAATAAACTAATGAAAAAACAAAAAACAAGGAATTTTTGTTTCTAAGATTTTTCTGTTGCCGTATAAAGCCTTAGATTGAAATTCAGGTAAATGCAGATGAGCAAAAAATTGGGACTTTTTTAATTCTATTTTAAACAAATATTTTGAGTGGGGAAAAAAATAACCCCCCCCCCCCAACTCACACTAACTAGCATTTTTCACCCACTCACTTCACCTCGGTTTGGAAGGAAAGTGATTTATCCATGAATGTAGCCACCTAATATGGTAATGGTCTCACATTTCCACACATGCCAATAAATAAATGCTAAATGTGTTTAAATTAGGGTTGCAAATAACGATTGTTTTGCAAATCAATTAATTAATTATTTTTTCAATTAACAGGTTTTTATAATTTTTAGCAAAATTTTTATATTTTTTTTACAAATTTGAAAAAATTACTGCTCTAAATGATTGCTCTGTCAGCTAAAGGCATGTCTTAAACTCTCTATACTCAATTTAATGCTTAATCGATTACTAAACTAGTTGACGATCATATCAATAATCTATTTATCACGATTAATCTGATTAATTGTTTCAGCCTATATATATATATATATATATATATATATATATATATATATATATATATATATATATATATATATATATATATATATATAAATTAAAAAATGTGTTGTTCATCTGTATTTTGTTGCAAAAATGAATATTCCTGCAGTACAAAAGGTGTTGTTAAACACATACATTTCTATAAAATGCCAATCTAGGAACAGAAAGTAATCATATTCCAATTTTGATGACTTTATCTGATGATAATTATAATTCTTGACATTAAAATGCCCTTTTCTCTTAACTGAGCCTGCCTCTGTGTTACTGAATAGTGTTGTCACAGGAACAAGTGATTTCATGTTTTTTATTCTATATGCAAATTTTTTAACACATTATAGTCAACTGATGTTACTTAAATTTGACATTTTTTATTTTAAACCAAAGATCAAACAAGTTGTTTGTTTTTTTCCATCAGTAGTTTCTAATTTAATAAATACAAAAGTTGGCATTATATTTTAAGGCAAATCAGTGTTTCTCTACATGCTGTTGAAGAATTACATTATTATAATGTGTATAGTCTGGATTATGCAATGATAATATGGCATGCAGTTTCTCAAATAAAATAAATAAATAGATAAATAAATAAAGAGTACATTTATTGCAGTAATGCTAAAAAAGCATCAGGCCTTCACAGGATGTCTGACAGGTGCCATAAGAAGGAAGCTTTAGATAATAATAATGTTTTCTAACATGGTGGGGTTATATGAGAAGCTATTACTAAAAGGGTTTATGTAAAAATGGGCCTATTGTGTCATCAGTTAAATATTGACAGTTTTTCATACTAATCTGTTTTATTTTGTTTGTTTTTTTACCTTCCACGCATCGTCTTCTCCATATGGTTTCCGTTTTGAGGATTTGTCTAAATTTCTTGCAAACCAGTGCGACGTTAGGTAACACTGTTCCGGGAAGCAAGGAAAATATTTCCACCAGGAGCTCCGGCGGTAGTTCAATTAATGACTCTGGGTGTGGAGGTCTCGTGTTCGATTCTCCTCTGTTGACATGGCCGCTGCCATATTCACAAGCGTCACTTGGCCCTGCAGTCGCGGCGTCCGCGGCAGCGACTCGCCCGGGGCCTCCGCTGCTCCCTGCTTCGCTTCTCCGCTGGCCTACGATTCGCTCTTCTTCTTCCTCTTCCATATCAGAATCGCTGCCTTGGTCCTGCTGGTCGTTCCTCTGTCGTCTCCGGCGGCACCTTCGAGACTGTCCGACTCCGCAAAGCCTGGCACAAACAGCCATCCGTAGTCAACAAACGGCTAAATTACATCACTACAACACATATATCAGCTGCGGTCATAATCTTCCTGTCCTCGCGAGCTTGAGCAGGGTTATCAGCTGACGTCACACCTGCTCCCTGTAGGAGGTGTATGGCAGGACATTATATCATAAAACAGTAACTCCGACTTTACAAAGATAATTAATTGTTTATCCTGTTTTGCGAAACTGTTTTCCATCTAACATTTTCCTTTATATTTACTTTGATACAACTGCATGTGAAAAACCTGTTAAGCTTGTCTGCAAACTTGGTGTATCTGTCTGCAGCCCTGCTGGTGGTGTTGCCCTGCCCAAAGCCCCTACACAGCTCTCTGATGTTATTTTGTTCCTCTATTTCCTCTTTGCTGCCCTGATCCTCCATTGGAGCTCTCACTGGACTATAAGCTGCTCTTCTCTGTCTCCTGAGATTTTTGGTTCAAGAGGACTTTCAGCTCAGGAGTAACCCAGGGGTGGTTGTTTGGGTCGTCGTGTGGGCACCATGCTCTCCGCACAGAAGGTCATGTAGTCAGTGATACATTCAGTCAGGCTGCTGATGTCATCACCATGAAAGTTTTGGAACATGCTCCAGTCTGTGGTTCTAAAACAGTCCCTCGGTTTCTTAGTGGCCTCATCTCACCAAACTTTCATAGACTTCTTCTTTACTATTTTCCTTCTCACCATTGGTAGTGGGGGAGCATGTAGACAATGTTGTGATCTGAGTGTCCTAGTGGGGGGCGGAGGTGTGCTGGGAGCATGCTGGATGAATCTGCAGCTCATTGACCAAACCCAGATGGTGTATCGACCATACTCGGTATGTTTAAGCTAATTTCTGTTACCGCTAAATTCTGGAAACATTCTGCTCTGTGAAGAATCAGAACTTCACAGACACTAGGAAGGAATTAGTTCTGAGAGGACAGTAAATATTAATTTGGAGATATTTTTCATACAGGATTATGGATTTGGACAAATTATGAAAAAAAATGCATATTTTAAAATCTGTCTTAAATCACATCATAGGAGGACTTCAGATCTGTCCATCAGTAGATATCTTGCCATTCCCTGTGAGCAGGGTAGAAAGACTGGTGTTAAAGTAACTAACTAACAGATAGCTACACTGTATTTTTAACAAGTGTTTGTCCATCAAAATATATTGGTAATATCTTATTTAAGAGATATATATGTCTATTTGATTTTATTGATGGAGAATAAATTATAAAGGAGTAAATTCTAATAAAAAAAAAACTGCTAAATTCATATGGTCATTATACTTAAATAAAGCAAAAACAAATTTGTGTGCAGGATTCAAATCATAATTGTCGATTGTCGCTTCCATTAAAGCTGATGTTTCCAAATCTGATTGGTCACTTTCGCCCAGACCAGTTTGACTTATGTTCAATTAATTTGTCTATGTACCAGCATTAATTACCAAATAATAAATATAATTAGAAAAACTGTTTTCAGTCTAACAGACATATCAGTGACCCATCAGATAAAAGTGAAACTTTTGTTCAAGCACTGCCCACAACTCAGCCCGTATACTTAGGGGCCGAAAAAGCCAAACCATTGTATATATATATATATTTGTATATATATATATATATATATATATATATATATATATATATATATATATATATATATATATATATATATATATATTTGTATATATATATATATATATATATATATATATATATATATATATATATGTGTGTGTGTGTGTGTGCCTCATATATATATTGATTTTTTTTGTGTGCCTTATGCTACCAAGAATGATAATCTTCAACGTTATAACACCATCAAATAACATTCAAAATAAGACTATCTGAAAGAAATTTGGGGTATGCCTTAACAACCTGGTGCTTATTTTTTAAGGATATGTACATTTTAAACTATTCTTTGAAACAAAAAATTATTTAGAAGCTGTTGTTTTATTTTTATAAGACCTTACTTCTTTGTTTTGTTAATTTTCCATGCCGACTTAACTTTTAATATTTCTCTCTCTTGATCACTAATCTCGTGTGTTGGAACGGCAACCACATGTGTGAATGTTATCTAAGACAAAAACTGTGTCAGATTTATATATATATCTCTTTTTTATATATATATATATCTATATATAAAAAAAAGAGCATTCGAGCCAGCCAGGAGTCGAACCTAGAATCTTCTGATCCGTAGTCAGACGCGTTATCCATTGCGCCACTGGCCCGACCGAAAAACTAAGCGCTCCGTACTTTCTTCAAACACCCCAGCCAATCATGTTCCACGTAACAATGGACCGGCCAATCTGAGACCAGGCTCACAATGGATGTCAGCCACTCACGGTGAGGCATTTTACATAAGGGCTCTGTTCGAAAACCTAGGACGTGTCCTCCAAGGACGCGATCTACCTAGACTGGTGCTCTGTTCGAAAATCTAGGACGCATCCTTAGAAGACCGGATTCGAAGGCCGATTATGTCATTGCGCGGCGCCGAGGTCTGATCGGATTCCAAGAGTCCTCGTTATGCGGCCTTAAAATGCGTCCTTCTTTTTGCCCGATTTGAAGGACGGGTCCGATGTATCCTCGGTATTCTTGGATATCCCAGGATTCATTGCGAGACCAAGCAAGCTGTGATCAGAGGAAAGGTTACTTGGCGCCGAACAGTGGTGAAAATTGGAAGTTCAGTTTAATATAATCCAGTCTGTGAATAGTTCCGTCTGAGATGAATGAAAATAGTTGTTTTAATGGTTATAGAGTCAGATATGTGGCGGTAATGTTTGGTTTATCTAAAGGTTTTAATCAGTTACTGTGTAAATGGGTTTGGCTGGAATTTATGGACAGATTCTAATATATCTGCAGGGTGGGGGCTATAAATCTGATAGGATTTTTATCTTTTTATTGCTGTTTTGCACAATATGCTTAACTTCGTATTTTTTGTTGTTGAATATTAGAGATTTTGCAGATTTATCTTTTATAAATACATTGTTTAGATTTACTTATATATTTCTACTCCTTTTATAGAATAGAAAATCCCTTTATTGTCCCACAATGGGCAGATTTACAGCAGCAGAAAGATTATTGAAAATGGTCACACAAATGAGGACCTTAGAGAAATGTATGAGAATAACATGATAGGGAAGAGTTAAAATATAAACAATACAATCCTGTAAAGTGTTTTAACAATATAAAACTGGAGAATTAATAACCAATATGCAGCTATGGACATTTTTACAGTAATGGATATTTGAAAATAGCAGCAACAACAGAGATGTGCAGAAAGACAGCAGCAGGTTATTTAACTGACTAAGGTTTCTATCATTACATTTGATTTTATTTGTTCCTGCTCCCGGTGGTTGGAACATTTATTCCACTCTGGATTCTTGTGAGTGTAGTCTTTGTTCACTTCACAATAAAAAAAGAAATAAATAAACAGTTTTGAAAACTTCTGTATTCATCTTTTCCTGCTTTGTGTGTCAACTTTCACGGTTGCTAACCAACAGCGCATACTGCGGTAAAACCCGCCGAAAGGTAGACCTGGTCGAATTCACAGCCAAAACTCTTCCGGTCTCCTTATTTTCAAGGACTTCGAAGGATCCAGTCTAGGTAGACCGCGTCCTTGGAGGACCCGTCCTAGGTTTTCGAACAGAGCCTGGATCCTTCGAAGTCTACCCTTCGGCGGGTTTTACCGCCGTATGCTCTGTTGCTTAGCAACCGTGAACGTTGACACACAAAGCAGGAAAAGAATAAATATAGAAGTTTTCAAAACTGTTTGTTTATTTCTTTCTTTTTTATTGTGAAGTGAACAAAGACTATACTCACAAGAATCCAGAATGGAATAAATGTTCCAACCACCGGGAGCAGGAACAAATAAAACCAAATGTAATGATAGAAACCGTTAAATAAAATGCAGCTGTCATTTTGCAAATCTCTGATGTTGCTACTATTTTCAAATATCCATTACTGTAAAAATGTCCATAACTGCATATTGGTTATTTATTCCCCAGTTTTATATTGTTAAAACACTTTACAGTATTTTATTGTTTATATTTTAACTCTTCCCTATTATGTTATTCTTATACATTTTTCTAAGGTCCACATTTGTGTGACCATTTTCAATAATCTTTCTGCTGCTGTAAATTTGCCCATTGTGGGACAATAAAGGGATTTTCTATTCTATTCTATAAAAGGGTTAGAAATATATAAGTAAATCTAAACAATGTATTTATAAAAAATATATCTGCAAAATCTCTAATATTCAACAACAAAAAATACGTAGTTAAGCATATTGTGCAAAACAGCAATAAAAAGATAAAAATCCTATCAGATTTATAGTCCCCACCCTGCAAATATATTAGAATCTGTCCTTAAATTATAGCCAAACCCATTTACACAGTAACAGATTAAAACCTTTAGATAAATCAAACGTTACCACCACATATCTGACTCAATAACCATTAAAACAACTATTTTTCATTAATCTCAGATGGAACTATTAAATGACTTGTATTATATTAAACTGAACTTCCAATTTTCACCACTGTTCGGCGCCAAGTAATCTTTCCTCTGATCACAGCTTGCTTGGTCTCGCAATGAATCCTGGGATATCCAAGAATACCGAGGATAAATCAGACTTGTCCTTCAAATCGGGCAAAAAGAAGGACGCATTTTAAGGCCGCATAACGAGGACTCTTGGAATCCGACCAGACCTCGGCGCCACGCTATGACATAATCGGCCTTCGAATCCGGTCTTCTAAGGATGCGTCCTAGGTTTTCGAACAGAGCAAATGTTTCACAATTGTGCCCCACAGAACCAGAATCACAGAACCGTATAAATTATATCTATATCCTGTTTCTACGGCTTTACAGAAAGCCGCATGATTATTGAAATATGACTATTCAGCCTTTCTACTTTAAAAAGGAGACTCATTCTTTTGAAAGTTTGTAAGTATCTAAAACTATACTTTGGAAAGGTATAATAGGTATCAATAGTCTGTAATGATATCTCTACTATTAAAAATATCATCTAAAATATAATATAAATTTTTTATATCCAAATTTATCATTATGACTACTATTAACTGGATTACAGCGACCTGATAGCCTCGTCAGAATTCAGTTTTAGATATCCGGAATATTCATTTTAGGTAGCAAAAATGTTGCTTTAGATATTTGGAAGTGAAAGCCGAAGTCGGGAATTGCAATGCCAGTTGTGTCAGAAATACATTATATTTGAAATTATTATTTTTAGCTTGGAAGAATGTTATTTTAGATGTCTGAAATGTTCATTTTGACTTGGAAGAAATTCATTTGAATCTGAAATATATATATGAAATATGTATTGAGTCTGGCTAATGAATGTCAAAATGGCCACTTAAAACTTGCAAAGATTCCAAGGTATCTGAAACTTTATTATTGTACAGTCATATTTATTTTGCATGTTGAAATACCGCTTATGCAGCAAAAATTTTATTTAGGATATCGACATTTATAGTTCTAACCAGTAGGAAAGTAGATTTGACGAGGAAGAATCCTATTTTAGTGATCTACTAATGTAACAACAGAGAACAGCGCTTGCAATAAATGTCAAGACGACCTGCCATATGGCCACATAAGGAGTTTCGGCGCACTCCCATTGATACTGTATTGGTTTGTTGCTCTCTACTGTCACCTGCTGGATCTTAAACAACATCGCATCAGACACAGACCCGACGACTTCGTTTGAATAGTAACTTAATCATTGCATGGTATCAGGGCCGGCCCGAGGCATAAGCGAACTAAGCGGCCGCTTAGGCAAAAACGATTGAACAGGCCCTGGTCAATTTTTTTTTTTTTTTTTTTTTTTTTTTACATTTAAATAACTTAAACAAGTGATATAAATGATGAATACCAATTAATAAATGAAAAATTCAAGACAAAATAATTTCTGATTTGTCAACAACTGCTCATGTGCATTCACTTCGCGACGGCAGCCGCAGACAGCTCATGGTACGCAGCGCGCGCCTGCATTGACAATTCACGCTGGCGCACCTGTTAATAAGAAAGTCTAAGCCATGTCAAAAAAGGATTATCCCTCTGGTGCCGAAAAAAGAAAAGGAAAGAGGAAGAGAAAAAAGAGCAAGATAAAGGTATGTTTGCATGATTATTTACTGACCGCTATATTTTGTGCAGCAGCAGCACAGCTAGCTCGTCATCATAACTCATGTCGTGATATTTATCAGCCATCCATCACCATTAACAGTGAAATATTACCCATTATTAATATACATTTATTTAGGTAGGTGTGTATTTTATGTGTTGATACATATCGGCGTAGGAGACCCAGCACATGCTGGAAGGACTATGTTTCTCGGCTGGCCTGGCCTGGGAACGCCTGCTTGGGATTCCCCCGGAGGGGAGGGAAGTCTGGGCCTCGCTATTGAAGCTGCTACTCCCGCGACCCAACCCCGTATAGGCGGAAGATAATGGTTGGATGGATAGATATCGGTTTAAGTTGGAGAAAACACAGATGCCAGCAGCCAGCTTAGCTAGCATTGTTGTTTGTGTTAAAATTAATCTACTAACTTAATAGACAAAGCACATGCGCTCTCTGCTCTAAGATCTTTGGTGAGAGATGGTATTTTATCGTTATTAGAAAATATACCAAAAATGAAAATAGAGTGCAGTTTTATTAACATGGTGCTTTCCTCATATTTAGGCTGCAGTAGATCACAATGTTAAGTTTTTACCATATGGCAATTATGCCTCATTTGCCAATAGAATATGAATTGTTAGGTGAGGTGTGGAGTTTCTTGTGGTGCAAGATGGGAAAATAAACTCATTCTACAATAAATTATCAGTAAATTTAGATAAAACCAAATTCATGATATTCGGAAACAATAAAAAACAGGAAAATAATCCAATTAAAATATCAATTGAAAGTGTTGATTTAGAATCAGATCAGATTCAGCATCAGATCAGCCTAGTAAAATGTAAAATAACCAAAAGTGTTGCTGTTATGAGAATTAGTTTCGTCCTGGACTACAAATCTTTGTTTATTTTGTACAACACACTTATTGTACCACATTTAACATATTGTGTGGAAGTTTGGGGGAATACATACAAAACAAATTTACAGCCGTTATACGTTTTACAAAAAAAAAAATCAATCCGAATATTACATAAAGTGGGATACTGGGAACACACAAACCAGTTATTTATCAAATCAAATATACTGAAATTCTGGGACCTGGTCATATTTAGAACTTCACAATTCATGTTTAAGGTCCGAAATCAAAAACTTCCACACAATATACAGGAAATGTTTGTGACAGAGAGGGGGGGTTATGATCTAAGAGGTGAAGGATACTTTAAAAAACAACACTTTAAAACAACCAGGAAGAGTTTTTGTTTATCTGTGTGTGGAGTAAATATCTGGAATGGATTGAATGACGAGTTTAAAAAAATTATAAATGCAAACCAATTAAAAAAACTGATTAAAACCGAGCTCATTTCAAAATACGCTATATAAGATTACTGTTTAATAGTCTATAATGTAATTGATGACATAAATAGTACTTAAAATAATTGTACATGGCTAAACATCATGTGGAATGGAAACAAGTGTTTTTTTGGTTTTTTGATGTTTTGACAGTTAATTGATGATAAATTGACAAGTAGGAAAGGGGCAGGACATTATAAGATGTATCTTCTACCTGCTCCTTTTCGAACAGAAAATATAAAATTTACATGTCACATGGGCAAAATAATTTGTTTTATATTTTTATTCTTAAGTTTGTTTCATTCAAATTTTTTCTTTCTTGATTGTTTTTACTGTCTGTTCGAAATAAATAAATAAATAAATAAAAACTATGCATTATGCAATGCTATTTTTCCCAGGAACACTGTTGAAGTACTTTGGAGAACAACCAACTTTACCTGCCCCTACTGTTTCGAGTGTCAGTGCCTCCACAGCTGATGATGCAGCAGGTGAGGGTTTTCTTGATGGCAAATGGTTACATAGCCTGTTAATATGACATGAAACATTTAGCTTTTTATGTATTTCTTTATTTTTTCTTTGTTTGTTTTATCATTGCAGGTTCATCCACTGCACAAGCGACAACAAGGGAGGAGCACTTACATGTGACTGAAAGCGAGGAGCAGTTACATGCACCTACATTTACTGATCCACTGGTTTCAAACTCAGCCGGCACGACAGGTCTGTTAATCTAAGTTTTTGTTTTGTGTTGGCTTTACAATAAAATTTTCTGCTATGGTATTTCATTCTTTTGTATTTAATCTATTGTCCCTACAGGTCCTTCTACATCTGCACCCACTGCTATAGATTTCCCATCCACTGCCTCAACAAGCTCCAGCTATCAAGATGGATCAACAGCTCCTCCAATTGACCCAGTTGAATGGTCAGCATTCCTCTCAGATTCAGAAAGGACTGATCTGGTAAGAAGAGGGCCAGCGCCAATCAGTGACACCTCTACATTCCCCAAGAGATCAGATGGATGAAGCTTTCACTACCACTATACATACAGACAATTAGTTAATGGGGAAAAAATCAAGCGAAGCTGGCTAATTTATTCAAAGAAAAGTGATGATGTTTACTGCTTCTGTTGCAAATTATTTTTGATATTAATGTTTGTCTATATTGGTTTTATTTAAAATATTGCACATTTAATGCACATTTGCAAATAATTTATTTAATGTTTGTATTCAAAAGGTTTATTAAAACAAAGTATTGTATATATTGTTTATTTATTTTGTATTAATACATTACCATAGTCTATTCATTTTTAATATTCCCTATAACATTATAGTGTGACATTTGTGTCAGTAATCTTCTAGTATAGGTGATTCTGCATGGTAGGAGGGGGGGCCCCCAAATCAAATTCTGCTTAGGGCCCCCAAGAGGCTCGGGCCGGCTCTGCATGGTATGCTGTATTATTTTATTTCTACATCTTTATAATGTAAGTTTGAAATATATTTTAAGTATACCGTCAATGATGTGAGGTGTCATAATGAAAAAAATTAAATGAAACTGTGATGTTGCTTATGGACTTGCCATTGATGCAGTGCCCCCTGTAGAATAGCTCCTGGCCCCTCTTATGGCCCCTTTAATGAAGATATAAGACTAAAAAGTAAATAAAAATGAAATAAATTATATATATATATATATATATATATATATATATATATATATATATATATATATATATATATATATATATATATATATATATATATATATATATATATATATATATATATATATATATATATACTACCTCACAGTAGGTCTAAACCATCTCAATAAATACAAGACACAAAAAGACATGAAAACATAAATGTTGGTCTTCCTTACAGTCACATAACGTTTAATTTGCAGCAAACTATTACAAATACATTAGACATTTTTTTCTTTCTTCAAAAAGACACTTTATATGGATCGTGAAATAAATAATATGAAGAAAATAGGAAAGATGCTTAGAAATTCATGTACAATAGGGTGAAAAAGCTGAATAAGCAACCAGGTAAGTAGGCATATTCATTACTTTTTTAGCCAATTTGTTGCCATTATTGTTCAAAAAATATTAAATTCAAACATACACACTATTTTTTTAACGCAAAACAGCAATAAAAACAGCAGAAATTGTCTGAAAATAAGCTCATCTTTAACTTGCCTGTCGACCAAATGTTAAGAGCGCCCCCTACATGCCGCTGAGGGGAGCAGGTAGCAGCGCAGCCTCCATCTCTCGCGAGGAACGACGCCGTTATCGGAATCTCTACAAACAACACGAGAATTCGTCATTCACACGGTAATATAACCCAATCTTACACGGTGTGTGTGGCTGTGTGAGAGCCATGGACAGAGATGCCGAGTTGAAATAATATTTATTTGCCGTTTTTAAGTTTCTAGAATTTTTGCTTTGCACCGAATAGGCCTTTAGGCCCAATAGCATGCTAACTACTTAGCTAGCCTATATAGGCGTTTCAGTCCTTTAGCGTTGATATTCGCTAGGAAGCGCCTAAAAAGGAATGGGGAGCTCCTGCTAACATTAGCCGCTAGCTACATGCCTATTTTGAGCCTTGATAGAAAATGCAGACACTGCAACATTGGCAGAATTAACGTAGTTATCGAATCAGCTTTACACAAGCTAGGCATGTTATTTTCCGCCCATACGTCTAAAGATGTGTCTGTTTGGTTGTAGATGCAGCCTATTAGCTCCAACGTCGCTACAGGCGTAAAACCACAATATCTCAAAATATCTGTTTTTAAAATATAGATGGTGAGAGCTAAAGCTGTTTGCTACAAGATGCAATATGTTATTGGCTTGGTTCAGACAGTCAGCAGTAACAACGGCTATCTGCATGATCAAAAACTGCTAATAAACCATGTACACAAATTGATTACAATGTATTTTTGATAGTTTGCAAACATATTGGAGTGACTATTTACTGATTGTGGGTCTGTGTGTATGCATAAATCTTTAAACTGGATTTCCTTTATTAATTCACAATTAAAACCTAATATAAAACAGTTAATTTATGAAAAAAAGAAGTAAGGATTAAGTAGGTTTTCTCTATCAGAATTAGGATTTTTTAATGCTATATTTATAATATGCTGGCCTGGCATTCCTCTTATTATAATTAATAATTAGGTCAAAACCTTTATTATCTTCCTTTGTTAAGTTGTTGTCCTTGATCATAATTTTCCAAAGGTAAGAGCCAAGCTAGGTGAATAAGCTGCATTTATTAAATAATTTGATTCCATTTTGAATCAAGTTATTTAATAAAATTCCTTGAATATGGACTTAAAGTTTAGTTACAGGAACACAAATGTTTAAAAAAATCTTTTAACAGCAGGATCATTTATTAAAACTTTTTTTTTTTACTTTATTAACTTTTTTGGTGGTTATTGTACTGCATGCATTATCAGCAACCTTACATTAACACTTTTTTTTAATTTCTCTGAAAGGCATTATCTAATATCCGCTCTCACCACATGCTCATCCAGGAGGAGCATCCTGCAAGTCTCCCTCTGATAGAAAACTTTTTGCCAATCCAACTGTATGATCTGATTGAAGATGAGCTCCTCAATATCTGGGCTACAGAGAAAAATCTTCACAGTTACATGTCCTGGGTGCCTTTATCTGTTGTTCATAAGCACTGCCAACCCACCTCTGTTGAGCTTCCCAGCCTTCTTTATATATCTGTCTTCTTTTATAGTTGGGTCTCTTGTTACCCATCATTATTCATGGAAGAGATGGTTTGAATTTCCTGCTCTGCATCCTTGGCACCTCCTGGTCAACTCAGCTGGCACTTGCAGAAGTAGTCGAAGTACCTCAGTTATAAATGTTCAAAAAGGAAAAAAATATCAGCAAAAATCCTCCCAGTTCACAGCTTCAAAACCAGAGGCAAAGAAACTGCTAAAACAAACCTGATCCAAAAACAAAGGAAATAAAATTCTTTACAAAAGTTACATCGATATTAAGCTATTTGAGCTACTCCTACAGAAATGCAACTCTACAATCCTTATATACTTATATATTCCTAATATATGAATTTGGTTAATTATTGCTTATATAATTCAGTTTAATTCAGTTTATTTCTATAGTTCCAATTCACAACACATGCACTTTACAGTTCACCAGATCATACAGTAAAATTGATTTAAAGTTTTCTATCTAAGGAAAATCAGTTGATTGCATCGACTCATTGACTTGAATGCAGTCCCTCACACTAAGCATGCTTGTTACGACAGTGGAGAGAAAAAACTCCCTTTTACATGTAATAAAATATTACTCATAAATTTACTGTTACATCAGTTTTATAAACCCCCACAACTTTCAATCTAAAAAAATCTTCCAAACAATCTTTTTGCATGTCGCTCATTTTAAGCCGCTTTGGTTGCCATAGTATTAAAAACCTACAGACGAGAGGCTTTAGCCATCCGTCATTAACAAGTGTGGCACCTCACTCTGTTTTTACTCTAAATCCTTAATACAGCTGTGTTATGTTATTAAAGAAAATTTTCCGCATTTGAAATATGCCTTGGATGTTGATTTCATGTCAGATCTGTATATAGAATATTTAATGATTGACAGTAGTGTAAAGGATCTTTTCAACTGAATTGTTACCAGTAATGTTTTTAAAGGGCCAATATCATGCAAAATCAACTTTTGAAAGCTTTAAGCAATGTTATAATACTATTCTATCAAAATCATATTATTCCTTTTGAAATTTGCTCATTGATAAAAATGACACAAAGCAATAAATGATCTACTAGTCTAAGTTTGAAAAAAAGAGAAACATTTAATAACACAAAACATTGTCTAGCAAATGGAGGTAGCTGCAATGCTTGGCTCTCATGTGGCCTCAAGACATGGCTCCTGAATGCACTGATGAATCTGTGAACTCATGAATCTATCGGCCAATGCAAAACAAAACAAAACAAACAAAAATATGCTAATATCAGCCTTTTGATGTGTAGTTCAATCTTTACCCTGCAGCAGCTGTTTCAACTTTTTAATCTCCCCACTGCTGATTGTCGGCTCTGTAATCCAACCTCTTCTTTTTTTTTTTTATGTTGCTGATTTGATAGTTAATTTAAAGGTGGGAGAAATACCTCCCAAAAAGGCCAAGAGCGAGTTGTTTTCAAGTTGCTGAAAACAGTTAAGGATCTGTAGCTAAGCTGTTTATGCAGGTCGTGTTGCATGTTTTTAGGACTTGTAGATGTCCAGATAAAACAATGCTGCTAGAAGGGAGTTCTGTCTACTCCATAAGTGGTCATTTGGTGTCTCCCTGGATGGATGATAGCTAACAGATTGTTTAATGCAGACTACAGTTGTCATAGAACTTAAAAGTATTTTAATTGGATGTATTTGATAGATCTACACAAATTAGAAAATAATTATAAAGTGGATGGAAAATAATAAATGGTTTCTAAAGGTTTTTTAAAAGCAAAAAATAAAAACCTGGTGTGTAATTGTTTCATTATACTACAGCAAGCTGTTTATTAAGGCTCTCTAATAAACCTTTATTCAGTTTATACTGAGATTAAACAAAATTATATTAAGTTTAAGAAGGAGTATTAAATTAAAGAACTGGAAAGAAAGTTTTCAAACTTTATTCATTAAAACATTTTAAATTCATATATTTTTTCCATCAACTTCATAATTATGTTCCCCTTCATTACACAAATCCCTTCACCAATGGATTAGAGTTTTAGTTTCAAATATACAAAGTTGGGAACAGATTTGAATGCTTATGGAAGGCATTTTTTTCTGCAGCTAAGATAGCCCTGGATGGACGTCAGTGTCAGGATGTAATGCGGCCAAAATAACATGGAAGTAGTTAAAGGACTTTAAATCTGAGGTCTGATTAATCATTGGATATTAGAGAAGATACCAACTGTGGAAAGCGAAATCAACATGCTGATGTTAATGAATGTTTTCCTGCTGTCTTGTATTCAGCAGTGAAGAATGTCTGGACAGGAGCTGGATGAAATAGTTCAAATAACAGTGGAGGATTTTCAGCCGGATGGTCGTAATGGTAAGATTATTAACTGAGGACTCCCCTCTCGCTTTGTAAACTAATAAAATCTATTTTTTCTGTTTGATAGCCTTAGCGCTAATTTATTCCTTCTAAATTTAGTTAGATGCTAACACAGCTTTGGTTAAGCATGCTGAACAGATCTACCTTGAACAGATCTACCTTGTAAATCCCCTGACATTTTCTGTTTGCTTTATTGTAGATTTGTTAGACAATAATGGAGACAGTGAGGAAAGACCACAGAAGAAAAAGAGGAAACTAAGCAGCAGCCAGGACAACAACAACAACAACAGCAACAACAATAACCAGGAACTCTCTTTTATTAAGGTATTGGTTCTCTATACCAATCAGCTCTTATCATATTCAGACATTATTTTTCACTTTCCACTTTATTTGATTTTTTATTTTTTTTAATTATTTTCCCAGAATCTTTTGGTTTCTTTGACTGAATCCATTAACCAGCGACTGGAAGCAATCGAGTCAAAGCTGCAGTCCCTAGACTCCACCTGCAAAGTCCTTGTCCGCAAACTTGACAGCGTGGCTCCGTGTGCAAAGAGCCCGGTGCAGGTTCCTATGGTTGCAGGTTCCCCACAGGGGGCCACTCAAACTTGGAACAAAGTTCGATGGTAAGCTCCAATTGGTTTCGCAGCTTGGGGTCGCAGCTTTTAAAACCTGCTCGGCACTGATCGGCTTCAATCTTCTTTTTCAGCGTTGTCCCGCAAACCAATGTGATAGTTAGCAGGGAACAACCAAAGGCTTTAAACCAGGAAGACAATCCACTCGAAAACCTGCTCAGCAAGTAAGCAGCTACCTTTCATATTGACCTCTAAGGCAGATGCCAGCTCATATTTCTTAGTTAATGTCTTTCTCAGATTTGGCAAATCATTTTAGCTCATATATCCAGAGGTTTGCTGTCAGTAGAAAATCTGCCTCCTCAGCACAGTTTTCTTTGAAAGCATTTTCATGCTAATAGATATAAAATACATAACAGCTGTTTTTTTTAAATATTTTAAGAGCAGTGTTTCTAGGGAATCCTCCTTTATTAGTGACATCCCCCAGATGTGATCAGATGAAACAAAGGCGTAGCTATTTATTGACAAAGACCATGTTTGTTTAGTTGAAGTTTAGCAGCAGCACGGTTAAACCTGTGGGGTTGTCCACGGGCGATCACTCCACTTAAAACTGTTTGATCAAAGGGAAAAAGAACATTTTGCTGAGTTCAAATTAATTCAAAGTCCAATCAATTGAATTTTTGCTTGACTTTGCTTAAAAGCCAAGGCTGTTTAAGGAAACCAGTCAGTTCAAATAAGCTTTAGCTAATCTGCAAAGAAAAAAGTTCAATATACATCCATGATTCTGCATTTTAAATGTAAATGAACGCACTCTCTATTGTAGCTTTTCAAAACTTTTGTTGCTTTTGCAATGAAAAGCACTTTTTAAAAGTCCTTTGTTTAAAAGCCCCTATTTAATATGGCAGTCATCCCCATGCAGAGTTCTTTTAACCAGGAACAACCAGAACATGTAAGTGTGATAAATACAGTATTTGGGTTTTGCAGCACAGTGGCCAGGAGGCGACAGAACACCATTCTGGTTAAAGTGCCGGGCGCTGACGAGAGTCAAGAGGAACAAGACAGCGGCTCCGAGGCCAGCGACTCTGTTTCTAATAGTGGTCATTCAAGCGGTGCACAAAATGGCCAAAATGTCACGCTGATCACCCTTAATGCAGAAGGTAAGACGCAGCAACTAGAGATATCTAATCTAAGGTAGTGATTTGAATGAATAGCTAGATTAGGCAGAAGTCAGGATTATTTTTATGTTCAGATTAGGGTTGTCGCGGTACTAAACTTTTCAACTCGATGCCGATACTAAGCAAAATATTCGATACTCAATACCATTTTCGATACAACAAGAATAAAAACAAAGACTCTAAAATTCAACAGAAATATTTTCATTACTAAAAAAATACAAGAAATAAATAAAAAAACTATAAGAATAATATTTTGAGGTTGTATGCCGTGCACAATATTAAGCAAGCTTGATAAAAAAAACTTACAAATTAAAATTAAGTGTTCCTTCCTTGGCTATGTTTTGCACACATAACAATGACACTGGCTAAACCAGTTAAACAAAAATAATTCTCAGCAGCTGCACCTCTTACAAAAAAAGTCTGAAACTGAAAAATGCACATAATTATTCAATCACACAGTGTTCTGAAAGTGCATTTTCCACCTTTCTGCACTTTAGATGGCTGTATCGGTACTTTTGAAAATGAGTATTGTATCCGGATACAACGTTTCAGTATCGATACTTTTTTGAGAATCGATACTTTTGACAACCCTAGTTCAGATGCAGAAAGTATAATAAGTTTCTCAAAAATAAGCATAACTGCGGTTCCCAGAGGTGGTTTAAATTAGAAGGATAAAAAAATACTTTGGCCGGCTCGACTCAAACTATTTTTTTTCATCGAGTAAACAAGTGAAATAATCATATTAATCATATTAATTGATCATGATATTTTAATTTTATCCACTTCAGGGTTTTGTTGGCTTATAAGGGCCTGCATTATTGCGTGATAATTCTCTTTTAGCAGGAAAAGCAATATGCAAAATCCACCGCAGTAGATGCAAGTGGCTGTCGTTCATTTTTCATAACTTGTTTTCAGGGTTTTGAAAAACTTGTGTTCAAAGGAAAACATGGCCTCTTTTACAAATGTTCTTGATCATAGTCATACAAATGTTTTTGTGTTAACCCTTTCATGCATAGTGATCACTACAGTGTACCTCTGTTTAAACAAGCTTTTTTCTATGTATATGCCTTTAAATTCTGGGAACTTATGCATTTAGTCCAATCTAGTGGAAACTATTGCATCATACCATACTGAAAAATCTCATTTGTTGATCACTGCAATGGAAAGCAAAAGTCTGTGAAACCAAGATGGCTGACACACAGGGAAAAGACCAAATACCTCTGCTATTTTGGTTCCTAAATTAGAGCAGAGGAACCACCGTTCCATCAGAATGCCATATTACAACTGGAAAACTAAATCACAACTATATCTATGCAACTACTTTGGAATTTTTTTTTTTTTACAGTATAAAATGCATAAAGTACACTTGAGTGGACAGATAAATATTTCATAATCAATCAATCTTTATTCCAGACACAAAAAGGTCCATAGAGAAAAAGAAAAAAAAAAGTTAACAATATATATATGTAAAAAAGAGAAAAATAAAATAAACACGACGTATTCATCGAGTCACAAATAAATGATGACGCCAATGATTCCACAATCTTGAGTAGAGTCTCACCGTACTAAAAACAGGATTTACTAAAATTGCAATTATATTATTGCATAACACAGATACTCTACACACGCATTTATACATGAGATTCCTGAGCACAGCTGCACATGTGGGAACAGCATTATGTACAAACATATGGCTAGCATTGCTCCATCTAGGCACTTTGAGTAGTAGCCTCATGCCATCATTGTACAACCCCTGGCAAAAAGTATGGAATCACCAGTCTTGGATGAGCACTCATTCAGACATTTCATGCTGTAAAACAAACTCAGATCAAAAACATGATACAATATTAAGGTCGTTCCAAAGTGCAACTTGTTGGCCTTCAGGAACACTCAAAGAAATGAAGAGAAAACATTGTGGAAGTCAGTGAATGATACTTTTATTGACCAAACACAGGGAAATAAATATGGAATCACTCAATTCTGAGGAAAAAAGTATGGAATCATGAAAAACGCATAAACAAAAGACCATTCAAAATACATCACTAGTATTTAGTTGCACCACCTTTGGCTTTTATAACAGCTTTCAGTCTTTGAGGCATGGACTTGATGAGTGACAAACAGTATTCTTCATCAATTTGGTGCCAACTCTCTTTGATAGCAGTTGCCAGATCAGCTTTGCTGGTTGGACCCTTCTTGTGGACCATTTTTTTCAATCTCCACCACAGGTTTTCAATTGGGTTGAGATCTGGACTATTTGCAGGCCATGACATCGACTGAATGTGTCTTTCTTCAAGGAATGCCTTCACTGTTTTTGCCCGATGGCACGATGCATTGTCATCTTGGAAAATTATTTCATCATCACCAAACATCTGTTCAATTGAAGGGATGAGAAAACTGTCCAAAATGTCAATGTAAACTTGTGCATTGATAGAAGAATTAACCACAGTCGTCTCCCCAGTGCCTTTGCCTGACATGCAGCCCCATATCATCAAGGACTGTGGAAATTTGGTTGTTTTCTTCAGGCAGGCCTCTTCATAAATCTCACTGGAACGGCACCAAACAAAAGTTCCAGCATCATCACCTTGTCCAATGCAGATTCTTGACTCATCACTGAAGACAACTTTCATCCAGTCATCCACAGTCCATGATTGCCTCTCCTTAGCCCATTGGAGTCTCGTTCTTTTATGTTTAGGTGTCAATGCTGGTTTTCGTTTAGCTTTCCTGTATTGAAATCCCATCTCCTTTAGGCGATTTCTTACGGTTCGGTCACATACATTGACTCCAACTTCCTCCCATTTATGCTTCATCTGTTTAGTTGTACTTTTTCGGTTTTCAAGACAAATGGCCTTAAGTTGTTTGTCTTGACGCTTTGATGTCTTTCTTGGTCTACCAGTACGCTTGGCTTTAACAACCATTCCATGCTGTTTGTATTTGGTCCATATCTTGGATACAGCTGACTGTGAACAGCCCACATCTTTAGCAACCATGCGTGAAGGGTTACCTTCTTCAAGAAGTTTCACAATCCTCTCTTTTGTTTCAAGGGACATTTCTCTTGTTGGAGCCATGGTTCTCACCACTCCACTTGGTCCAGCAGCCCTCCAAGGTGTCATGACTGCAGGTGTTTTGAACTGCACACTAACGGGCACATCTAATCTGGGGCAGGTGTCCATTTAGGGAAAGGAAATAGACTGGGTGTGTCCTTTTTTTTCTACCTCCAATTTGAGTGATTCCACACTTTTTTCCTCAGAATTGAGTGATTCCATATTTATTTCCCTGTGTTTGGTCAATAAAAGTATCATTCACTGACTTCCACAATATTTTCTCTTCATTTCTTTGAGTGTTCCTGAAAGCCAACGAGTTGCACTTTGGAACGACCTTAATATTGTATCATGTTTTTGATCTGAGTTTGTTTTACAGCATGAAATGTCTGAATGAGTGCTCATCCAAGACTGGTGATTCCATACTTTTTGCCAGGGGTTGTATGCTACATAGAGTTTCTGCAGGCTACTTTTTTTGTATCTTCGCCACAGATGGGCTGTGTAAAATGAAGTACAAAAAGCTTTAAAAAGAGCTATCTTCACAGAGGATGAACACATACCAAACTTTCTGATCAGAGTATTAACTTGTGCATACATCATACGATACTGCCTAAAAATGTCACGGTCATCAGACAGGTCATCAGTTATGTAGTGTCCCAAATATTTAATTTCATTGCATATATTGAGGACATTGCCAGATAAAGAGAAGTCAGGGGTTATCAGATGCTTATCTGCCTTACTTCTAACAATCATAACATTGCTTTTCTTAGCGTTATATTTGATGTCAAAGTCATAACCATATTGGGAACAGACCCTTAGTAGTTGTTGAAGGCCAACACTATATGGGCATAGGATTACCAAATCATCTGCATACATGATGTGATTGATTATGCGGTCACCAACTACACAGCCTGTTTTACAACAATTCAGACGCTTTGATAATTCATCCATGTAGATGTTGAAGAGGTAAGGGGACAGTATACTTCCCTGCCTTACTCCGTTACCAACATTAAACAAATCAGACATTGTGTTACCCCATTTGACAGACATCAGTTGAAGACCATACCAGTAGACAAGGATTCTAATTAGATAATTGGGTACACCTCTGCTTTCTAACTTGCAGAACAGTTTTTGGTGATTCACATGATCAAATGCTTTAGAAGCATCATCATAATAGAATAAAGATACGATTATTTTTTCAAACCTTGTTTTATATTCCTAAGGATGTTTAAAAACACTTAGAAGCAGTAAAAAGAATCCTCAGAGTTTCTCATAATTCATGCATGTGAGGGTTAATATGCTGATAGAAGCTTGGCTTCTGCTAGAAAAAATAAAAAAAACTTTATTTTATTTCTGATTGTGATGAAGGTAAAATTTTTATTTAAAACTTGTCATTAAATAGACAGAATTGTGCTAATCAGCTTTTACTAAGACCATTCCATCTACCCTATGTGGTGTTAAACTAGTATGCAGTAGTTAGTCACATTAGTTAGAAATCCAGAAGTGAAACACTTTTTTGTACAGCCACATGGGGGTGCTGTTGTATTACTTTATATTTAATTCTTCTGTGATATTTGTCCACCTCTGATTCAAAGCTTTTAAAGGAACATATGCATTCATCTTGAACCATGTTTTTACAGTAGGGATGAACACAGATATACTAAGTGTACATCATACATCTCTCTTCTGTAAACAGTTGCACTGAAAGAAAATAATTTCCCCTAAGGGGCTAATAAAGTACTTCTGATTTCTGCATCAGAACGCAGAAGCTTGTTTTTCAAAAAAATGTTTTTTTTTCCTCTTCTCTTTTTATTTTTATTTTAGAGGATTATCCAGAAGGTACCTGGTTGGGAGATGAAAACAACTCCGAGATGAGGGTCCGCTGCCCAATTTCTCCATCTGACATGCTTTATATCAGCACAAACTGCCGCACAGCAGAGAAAATGGCACTGACTCTGCTGGACTACTTATTTCACCGGGAGGTCCAGGCAATGTCAAACCTCTCCGGGCAAGGAAAGCATGGAAAGAAGCAGCTAGATCCTCTAATGATCTATGGCATCCGATGTAAGTCGTAAAATGTTGCTGTTTTATTATTCACTTGGGACTGCATCACTTAAATCGACTTTACCTCAAGCAGAAGGTGGAGCAAGTTGTGATAAAATGTCTATAATGCCTTTCTTTGCATATGTGAGTTGCCCCAATTTGAACAGAAAACTTTTAATTCGTTTCATATGCAAAGCTATTACATTTGCAGGTCCATCTGAGCTCCACAATCTTAAAAGATGGCGGTCCAACAGAAAATAGAAACATCTAACAAGAGATCAAAAGCTAAAAATTAGTCTTCTTTATCTGTTCCAAAGCAGTGCGGATTACAATCTGTCCGCTCCCAAGCCTGTGTAGGTTTGAACCATCCAAGTACTGACTTTAAATTGAACTGAAGATGAAGAAGGAAGTTCTCTTTTTTAAATTTCCCATCTGCTCTGTCCCTATTAAAGCAAAAAAGCCCCTCTGCATGATGCGAACATCACTATTTCTCACCATTAGTGAAAAATAAGGCAGTTTTTCTTGGTTTTATGGAGGCCAGTTAGGAGGCATGAAAAATTACTTAGGATATAATTTTGTTTTCCTATTAACTTAACTTTGTATCATTTGATTTCGCCTTCCCCCAAGCAAAGGGTTGGGCGTCGTTTGCATTTGAGCAATTCCATATCTTTGTGTCGATTCGGGTCTTTTCGATTTTAGAATCTGATCACAAAAGTTTCCATGTTTTAAATGAGCATGGCTAATGACAGTTCTTTCTGGATGAAATGATCTGAGCCTTTCGATGAACTTCATTCCTTAAATAATCAGCTTTGTTTAAACGTTATTATAAAATTTCACATAGTTATTTTCAACCAGTATACAAATATCAAACCTATGAACTCAAATATATATATATAAAAAAAAATAGGAATTAACTTTTCTAAAAGTTACCCACACAAGCTTTATTGTTGAAAACCACGTTAAAACACATTTAAACGTATCCATTGTGCAGACACTTAAGCTTTTTAATACCTAATTCTGACTGTGATGCTGGTCAGAGTGTCAGACATGGAATAAAAAGCAGCTGCTTGTGGCAAGGAAGGTATCCCTACAGAGTTATATCCTCACTGAGTGACAACTAGTGATGTTTTATTCCGTGGACAGATGAACAATGAGAATTGGTACCCTGCTTTTCAGTTTATGGCTTTCATCATATGAAACGGGTCCCAAATGAAACTGATCAAGTTCTGCTTATAATGCGTCATCAGTCTGGTAGATCTAGATGAAAGATTTTTTCATTCTATCAGGAAAGTTTAGGAAGTTTGGCCGGTATCTGTAGAAACATAATTTAAAAGGAAGAGAGGATGAAAAAAGCTCTGCTTTCTTTGCGAAAGGTGCACCACTAATGCGGCAGGAGACATATTACCTCGGGGGGCCTACCTTAGCACGACGCTGGGGCAGAGGGTAAAAACACAAAGCACTTTAATCCTGAGCAGTGTTTAATCATGTCCTTTGCATTATATAATCCTATCACAAGTGTGTTGCACATAGCTGACTGGTTGTGTCTTTAATTAACATTAAGCCATACTTTGAAACTCCGCTGCACTAACGGATGATTTCACACGTTGCAAATTCATCTTTGCTGATATTCATCGGCTTTTTTCCCCAGCCAAATTAGGAATCTAATATAAACCTTTTTAAAGATTTTGGGAGAATTAAAAGGTTAAACTATTTCCAATCGATTTGCAATTCTCAGCACGCAACTCAGCCTAAAACTTTGTGAATCGGAGCTGTGTCTTGTGTCATCGATGGTTCCATAATCTAAAAATGGCCCAAAACACCCTCTGTTTGATGGTGTTTATTACTAAGATGTAAAAGTAATCCTTTTAAGCTCTCTACTGTATGTGGTTTGAATCTGTTTGTTCTTATAGATATTGAGGAATTCTCTGAGGCCTTCCCACACCTCATCCTCTTTGCGTTTCTGAAGCACACATTTGACCCTAACTCCCATAAAGACCGCAGTCTGTATTCCCATGGCGGCTTACAACAACATTCATTCATCATTGGAAGCATGCATTAATATGCACCACATTTTCGCACGTACTAAACTCTAAATGACATGCTCGTGTCTGGTAGAAAGATGTTACTGGGGTCGCTCTCATTTCTGTAGGTCTTTGAGGAAAATTTAGAGTTAGTATTTACAGTCATAGTAGGAGTGCCATCAGCCATAACTTTTTTAGGGGTTTACTCCTGTTTTGAATAATCTTAAGAGAAATATTTATATTTGCAACACTGAGGCATAAAGTAGGAAAGTATTTAACACAACGATTGATGTATTTTTAATTAAGTTTTGGACACAAAATCCAAAACATGTTGGTTACAAACCAAGTAATCCACTCATCCAGGGGAATTCAGACAAATATATAATTGATAAATTAGTCTATGTTTAGCAACCGGAAATTATTCCAGAGCTAAGTCTGGGAATTTTAGAAGTGCATCCTGCTCTGCATTCACTGGTTTAGTCTATTTATGGCCTGTTTAGTGATTTCTTCATTTCAAAGTGTCACGTTAGAAATATCTAATAATAGCGAAAGGAATGATCGTTATTGTTTAAAAATCATTCTGATGTCATTGTGTTCAGGTGTTTTTCTAAATATTTGAATATCCCAGTCAGATCCATTTGAGCAATGATCTCTAATAGTATAACAGATTTATTTTTAATTTTATGTTTTCCTGAAATAGTAATGTAATGTAATGTATCTCAGTTAACCTTTGCTGTGTGAGCCTGCAGCATTTCTAGTGGAAAAAAAACTCATGGAAGCTTTTACAGTCTGCTCAGATGGGAAAAAATACATTTTATTTATCATCCCACTTACCGTGTTTGGAGGACAAAGTGGCACAATGGTGAAGTTTAGTGATAGCTCCCTTTTATATCTATAAGAAAGATGAATGGAGGAAACGCACAACGACAGTCTGTTAAGAGAGCATTTCCAGGACTGTCACAATCTGACGTTTTGAACCGAAAGATGGACATTACCCTAGTAGTGGTCTAGGCTCTCAATAAAGAGACGTCTTGAAGTTTTATTAACAAAAAACTTTTTTTTGCTCATTCTGTTGTTTTACTTTATCTCACATAAATTAGTCATTTGTATGTATTGAGTATTTTTTTTTTACTAACTTTTGATGTAAAATGATGCTAATAGCCTCATTAGAAATAATATGTTCCTGTGGAAAAAATATGGATGTGTTGACAACACATTTTCCCTGCGGTTTATCTAAAAGTCCCCTCCTCCCGGACCGCCGCACACCTCTGTGTACAGCACTTGCTGCAGATAAAGATCTGCCTTTTACACCCACTTCAGGCCACTTGACCAGCTGCACAGAGGTGAACTGGAGGACAGGCGTTGCTCGGAATATTTAGTTTTTACTCAGACTTTTCTGGTTTTTGTGAGTAACTATGTGCAAACGTTTATGATTTGATTTTTGCATTTCAATATCTCTTATTACACAATCATTGCTTTTTTATCCCCCCTCTTCCTGACCTCTTTAGTTTTCCATTGATGTAACAAAGATTTTTTTATACATTCCTTAATATATTTCTTTTCTATATTTTATGTGTAGATACATGCAGATTTGTTTTGACAGAGAAGTATGTAGAGACAAGAGCAGGGCTGGTTGGCTGTTGGGTGACTCATTATGCCTTGAAGGGAGGAAAAAAAAAAGAAGAAAATAAGAATGAAGGAAACGCTGCCAGGCTTGCCTGTGCAGGACCTATCAGGTGCAGAAAGGGCTGCTGCATGGTGTCATCCCAGTACCATCAGATAACCCCACTGTCTCATTTTCTACCCCTGGGTAGTTAATGATTGTAGCTCTTTTGCTAACTCGAATAGAAATGAGCTGTCAGTTGGCCCTCGCCCTCTTAACAATTTATAATGCGGCTCCAGACAGCCAGTCAGTCCACCTGTACATATCCCCATGCAGGGAGATGGAAAAGAGACAGTGAGGCCTGTGTTAACTTGCCAAAAGGTGTGGGGAAGCAAAGGGGACCCAGACAGTGGTTACATTCACTTTTTACGAATGTATGCGTTGGTTACAGAGGAAGCAGCTCCAGTAAAGATACTTACCCTATTTTAGGTTTAGAGACTGAATGAAATTTAGCCTGCAGATCCTTTGGAGGTTTGAAAAAGAGATGCCTGAGTTTACCACATGATTAGAACAAATTAAATGTGTCTGAAATGTTCTATATACTAATAATTTCATAAATTATTAGTTCTGGTAATACATTCAGTTTACCAAAAATGCATTTTTTTGCATACGTTAAATGGCTTGAAGGTCTTAAATGTATTTGTTTTTAGCTTTTATGATATATTTGAAAAGAAATGTGTATGAAAAATGATGTTACAGACATATTTCTGTTCCCCAATAAACACATGGTCAGAATTTATATATAACAAGCTGAAAAGCTCCTCCTGCCTTAGAGGGAACAGTTATGCTGTTAATCAAGATATTTCAGATTTTTTCGGACAGTAACGGTTGAAATTTCAAACATGGCTGCTTCACTAGCTAAGAAATTGCATTTAAGCCTAATATGATTTCTTTTTTTCTAGTGTTAAAAAGGTATAGTTTGGAAAGGTGGTTTATGTCAGTCAAAAAGTAGACACATCTGCAGCTTTTATACTCTGTGGTTCTTTTCCAATTGTGCCTAATATTCTGTCCGGTGTTCTGTCAGACCAGCATACCCATAGTCAATACGCACGCGCAAGACGTCAGATTTGCGTTTATCCCTTAAGTTTTGTATGAAAAATAACTTTAAACTACCTCGACGGGTGTGTATCCCTATAGTTATGTAAAAAATAAAAAAACAATTTAAGGTCAGATGGCCATGCTTCAAAAATTAAGTAATTAAATAGTTTTTTTTGTACATGACTAAAGAGATAAATACTCGTTGAAGTAGTTTAAAGTGTATTTTTTGTACAAAACTAAAGGAATAAATGGGTATTGACCATGGGTATGCTGGTCTGACCTGGTATGACCTGGTATGCTCATCTGACAGAACACCGGCTCCAGGGGGGCGTATATGGCACAAAAACGCAAGCTCACAACACATTACATCAGGAAGTAAAAAACACAGCTGTTTACAACTTTTTTTAAAGTCTCTTCCTGCTATTTAAGAGTAGCAAGTGCTAATATTTTGATCATAGTGATATTTATGTGCTGCCTCACAAGATGTCTAGAAGTTTATATTTGCACACCGTCAAGGAGCTGTCTTTGTCCACCATGTTTTCCCCGGGTGACAGAGAATTTTGCACAGGCAGCTTCTATAAAATTTAATAGCCAGATATCTAAAATCAGATTCTTTAGAACAGGCACCTATAGTACAACCGTCACTTAATTAGTAGCGTGACCAACATGCACCTCTTTTTCTCAGGCCACTTGTTCCACAAATTTGGCATCTCTGAATCTGACTGGTACCGGATCAAACAGAGCATCGATTCCAAGTGTCGCACCGCCTGGAGACGCAAGCAGCGTGGCCAGAGTCTGGCAGTCAAGAGCTTTTCCAAACGAACTCCCCGCAGTACGGTGGCAGGTAAAAACAGAGAGCTCAGACGTTTGTACAACTGTCATTTTTTTTATCTTATATTTTTTTTTTATGGCATGAAATAAAAAACTGCTTTTGAAACCCAATGGTGAAAAAATGGACACAATAATGGGAACATGGATCCAAAGTTAATTACTGACATACATTTATGTGAAAAAATACATGCTGGTTGTTTTGTTTGTATTGAAAAATATAAAGACAGTCAGTGAATGTAAATACAGCGTTTCTTATTTCTTACATAAAAGCAGCTCTGCAATCAGAACTCGAGGTGCCCCTGCAGCTGTTTACAATCGACACACAAAGCATTCTGTACTCCCCTCTTCCTGTGAGTTATCACCTCTCACCTCTGACCAGAGAAGCGCAGCACTGCAGAGGAAAGCTACATATCCTGTGAGCACACGCTACCTTAGGGGCGGATAGTCCGGCCCTGCCTTTATAAGCCATGCGCACCCTAGAGTATACAAGACTCAGATGATGCATCTGTCAGCACACACACACACACACACACACACACACACACACACACACACACACACACACACACACACACACACACACACACACACACACACACAGAGGAACCAAACAGTCATTTGGTTTAACTTTAAATTAAGTGGGGAAAAAAAGAGGATTTTCTTTGCATTAAACAAACTCGTTGGCTTTAGTCAGCCACCGGGGTTTGTATCCCTCATCACTTAGATAAAGCACTTAAAAAAATATTTATGACTCACCACACATCTGTGATAATGAAAGATAAGAGGGAGTGTTAATCTTCGAAATGTCTGCATAATGCGGTGATGTTTATGGGGAATAAAAAAGTGGCTATATTACAATAAGGTAGTCTGGCTTCAACCCCCCACCCCCTTCTTTTTTAGCTTTTATTGGCCATTTTTCTACCTTGTATCAATTTTCTGTAAGATAAGGAGCCTTTTTTGGGCCAATATGGAGGTTCCTTGCTAGAGCTAGCTTTACGTCTATCAGGAAATGAAGGAACTACTGGAATGTTCACATTTATGCATTAAAGCACATGAACCTCACCTCTATCGGATTGTTACTGAACTCACGGTACATATAAGTTCCAGCTGACGATTGATGTGTGAGGAATGTTGAAGCCTTTGATGCATTGTAACAGGAATAAAATCCAGATCTTTAGTATTTGTCTTGCTGATCTGATGAAAGAGGATCAAGTGGAAATAGGCAACCGATGTCTGCATCTCTAGATGAACCCAGAAGTTGTTCAGTCTGAGCTGTGATGGTTGTTGTTAGACTATAAATTGGGTTTAATCTTAAATTAAGACCAAATAGCTTTTATTATTTTTGAATACAAACAAGGCATCAGCGAGCAGATAACCTAGAAATTTAGTAAATATATAAAGCCTTGCTCTTTTATACAACTTGTATATGATTAATTATCCTGAGCTGTTTTACCCACAGTGTTATGAAGTTAAACTTTAATTCACCCTTTGCCTCTTTGATGCAGAGGATGGTGTCTCGGATGAAGCTGCTCATTTAGAGGCCGCCACCCAGCAGACCCTGCATTACACGCTGGCCAATCAGCAGGTCCAGTTCCATCGCATTGGTGAAGACGGACAGGTTCAGGTGGTGCGTATCTCATCTCTTATTCACTTCTAAACCACAAAGAAGCATTTGCTTGGTTTCAAAACAAAAGATTTCTCTATTAGCCTCTAAACATTGGCTTCTATCCTGATTTTTCCTTTGCTTACTAATATCATCTCCCACACCCTGGGTTTAAGTTTCATTTAAGGGTCCCACAGAGCATGAGTCATGCTGCTATGGGACGCTTCATACCACCCACTACATTGGGGCTGGAGAAATATTAACCAACCTATAAACTAATGAAAGACTAACGGATGCTGAATGATGGAAGGGCCAATAACAGATGCTGTGGTCAAAGGTCACATTCAGGCCCACTACAGCTTATGGGTGGATTGTTCCAAGAGAAAGGAACCAAACTCGGCTCGTCTTCTAAAGAACTCAAGTTAAACCAACTCTTGAGCTGCAATAACAGAGAGATCCAAGGTCTGCATCGATACCAGAAATCTTCTAGTTAGCTCTGAGTATTTCCTTCCTCATCAGGTATAGAAACAATCAGAAGACACCCAAAATGGCTATAACACTCAGGAAGATCATGCTAGTGCTGCACGATTATGCTGTGCAACTATGTAATCGCATAAAAGACAGATTTTGTCAAACAAATATGCATGTGTGGGCCTGTGAACAGGGTTCTCTCTTAAAAACACTGTGTGCATCTGTAGGTATAGTCATGTGACAACTAAACTATTTTAGATTTCAATTTTGATGAAAGTCATGAAAAAATGGGAAAAAAACATGTCTCTGACTTACACACCCGACAACGTAGTTAACAACTAGTTTAACAACATACAACATTCACACGCACACAAGGAGAAAGGAGAGGTTCAGTTGTGTTTTTGATTCTTCTCTTTCACAGAAAATGCAGTAAAAAGTGAGTTTCATCCAACCCAAAAGGCTATTGGAACATGCAGAAAGCCTGTGGCCCCCTTTTCCCATAGCTGGAAGAAGCTTCTAACTCTCTCTGCTGTTTCTTGATATTCAAGCACACAAACTCATGACACCATTCATTTATAATTTCGTAATTGCAATCGCAATATAGTCCACAATAATTGCAATCACACATTTTGATCAAATCGTGCAGCACTGCATGATGCTTCATAAACTAAACAGAAATTCTCCTTTTAAAAAAACAAAACAAAACACAGATTTTACTTTCTGATAAAACAGTTGCAGGTAAAAATAAAGCTAATGTTGCTATGCTGAGGTTCTGTCTGGTAGGCTAACCTGTTCAGAATAGCATACTGGGAGTTCTCTGTCAGTTCAGAGGTCTTTACAAAAAAGTTAGAGGTGTTTATGAAGGAGTTTGACTCTGATTTAGGTAAATACAGTTTATGGAGTTGTATGTCGTTTTGATAGAGGGTTTTAAACGCTTAAGCCACATTGAACAATTTAAAATAAGATTCATTTTACAAACTCACTCCAGAAGAAAACAATCATACACAAAAGTCTAGGATATATATATATATATATATATATATATATATATATATATATATATATATATATATATATATATATATATATATATATATATATATATATATATAGATATATATATATATATATATATATATATATATATATATATATATCTAAGTTCACTGCATGCAATTAAGTGAATAATGATTAAAACATGATATAATATAGAAAAACATAACAAAGGCAGTCAGTGGTATGCTGGAATGATAGCTTGAAACTTAAGCATGAGCAATGCGTGCTATTTTCTGCTAGAGAGTATAGTGTCAGCCTTATTTCTTTTAAATCGTTGTGATTAAACATGAAATCAGCCTGAGACCATTATACTACCACCGCCGTGTGTCTGTACTATAACCTGATTCTGAAATGCTGTTTGTAAGGCAAGGCAAGATTTTTTCCAGTTTTGGTGGTTATCTAGAGAAGCCGTTCCCAAAGTCTTCGTCTTATGACCCAAAAAATAGTACCTGAATGTTCTCATGACCCAAACTATTGGTTGGAGTACAAACATTCCTGGAAAAAACAACGACCCCAACTTTGGATCTAGAGCTTCAGTTTTTCCACTGACCCTGAATCTTTTAACCAAGGCATGCAGAGGGTTAGATGTTGCTCCGGGTTCTTTTGTAACCTCCTGGACGAATCATTTGTGCGGTTATGAAGTAATTTTGTTAGGTCAGACACTCATGGGAAGGTTAACCACTGTTTCATGTTTTCTTTTTCTAATGGGTCACTATGGTTACTGGAGGCCTTAGAAAATCAATTTTCCTTTTCCTCTCATATGTGGAATTTCTTTATGTTGGTGGATGTCATTTTACAGTATTTATTTTGTGTCTTTTTTTTTACTTTATCATGTATCTCTTTACTAAAATGCTCAAGTCTTCCTTCATGTGTCTCAGATTCCACAGGGACAGCTTCACATCGCTCAGGTGCCACAAGGAGAGGAGGTGCAGATCACACAGGACAGCGAGGCAAGTCTTTATCAATGAATGTTTAGAGAAGTTAGAAACAGCAGACAGATGTTCCGTCTGGTCATCAATATTTATCCATCTCATTGCCCATTTTTTATTAAAAGTTAAACACATTTTTTACACCTTTGTTATGCATGTTAGGCTGGTTAGAAGTCCAACTATTGATCCAACTATTGATGTCTATAGTCTTCTTTCCCTTTAAACCAGCTTATCTTATCCTTATTTTTAGAAAACGCCTTTAAAATTTCTGGAAGGGTAATACTAAATCTTTTCACAATTTTACTATCAACAGACTTTTCGATGGCATATTTAACTTAAAATTTTTATTCAAATGTAAATCTACCATCTATGTTATTTAAGCAAAGAAACTAGTGTTATGGTTTTTTCTTATATATATATATATCTATATATAGATATATATATCTATATATAGATATATATCTATATATATATATATATTTTGAGGGCACAAAGCTCTTTTAAGCTAGAGAAAACCATATTGAGGCCTGGTGAAAGTATCTTTCAAGTAATAATCCGTTTTTATGAATGCTTAATCATAATGTGGAACAACTTGAATAAGTATACCCATGAAAAGGAAATCAATTAGTTGGAGTCTTAAACTACTAGATTATTTATTCACCCTTTAAGCCATTTGAAAGTTATTCATGTTGATCCATGTAAATAAAATCTAAATACATTAAAGCCAACAAAATGACCTCAGGTCATATTTTCTTACATTGCAAACCTTAAACTTAGTTGTATTTTATCCAGATTTTAATATGAAGCAGTAAAAAAGAATAGAGTGGTTGTTCATTTGCGAGAAAATCAATCAAATCAATCAATCAAAATCAAATCATAATTTTAAAAATTAGAAATATTTGAAAAATGTCTTTCATCCCCACCAGGTCAGCACTTTGTAGAATCACCTTTAACCTCAATTCCAGCTGCAGGTCTTTTGCTACGTGTCTCTACAAGTTTTGCACATCTTAAGAACAACATATATTTTTTGTTTTGGGTTTTTTTCCCCTTAAAGATAACCAGAACTCAAAACATTTGGATGGATGTAATGGTGTGCCATCCTCTTTCCATTTTCAAATGGTTCGATCGGAGCTCTGTGAAATCTCCACAGCTTAATACTTTTTTTTTTTTTTTTATTGTTTTACACCTAATGCGCTAATGTTCTTTTTAACAATCCTCTGATTCCTAAAGAGCACAGCAGGGATTAAATACCACTCTATGTTTCTGAACTGCTTTTTTTTCTTTGAGGAATTAGTTTAAAGAGAGATAAACATCTGCAACACCTTAAGTGTTCTCCTTGTTAAAAGGAAAGAATAACATACAGGTGCTGGTCATAAAATTAGAATATCATGAAAAAGTAGATTGATTTCAGTAATTCCATTTAAAAAGTGAAACTTGTATATTATATTCATACATTACATACAAACTCATATATTTCAGATGTTTATTTTGTTTAATTTTGATGATTACAAATGACAACAAATGAAAATCTCAAATTCATCATATCAGAAAATTAGAATATTACTGAAGACCAATAAAAACAAAGGATTTATAGAAATGTTGGCCAACTGAAAAGTATGAACATGAAAAGTATGAGCATGTACAGCACTCAGTATTTAGTTGGGCCTCCTTTGGCCTGTATTACTGCAGCAATGCAGCGTGGCATGGAGTCGATCAGTCTGTGGCACTGCTCAGGTGTTATGATAGCCCAGGTTGCTCTAATAGTGGCTTTTAGCTCTTCTGAATTGTTGGGTCTGGTGTATTGCATCTTCTTCTTCACAATACCCCATAGATTTTCTATGGGGTTAAGGTCAGGAGAGTTTGCTGGCCAATTAAGAACAGGGATACCATGGTCCTTCAACCAGGTACTGGTAGCTTTGGCACTGTGTGCAGGTGCCAAGTCCTGTTGGAAAATGAAATCTGCATCTCCAAAAAGTTGGTCAGCTGCAGGAAGCATGAAGTGCTCTAAAACTTCCTGGTATGTGGCTGCGTTGACCCTGGACCTCAGAAAACACAATGGACCAACACCAGCAGATGACATGGCACCCCAAACCATCACTGACTGTGGAAACTTTACACTGGACTTCAAGCAACGTGGATGAAGTGCCTCTCTTCTTTTCCTCCAGACTCTGGGACCTTGATTTCCAAAGGAAATGCAAAATTTACTTTCATCAGAGAACATGACTTTGGACCACTCACCAGCAGTCCAGTCCTGTTTCTCTTTAGCCCAGGCAAGACGCTTCTGACGCTGTCTGTGGTTCAAGAGTGGCTTGACACAAGGAATGCGACAGCAGAAACCCATGTCTTTCATACGTCTGTGTGTGGTGGTTCTTGAAGCACTCACTCCAGCTGCAGTCCACTCTTTGTGAATCTCCCCCACATTTTTGAATGGGTTTTGTTTCACAATCCTCTCCAGGGTGCGGTTATCTCTCTTGCTTGTACACTTTTTTCGACCACATCTTTTCCTTCCCTTCGCCTCTCTATTAATGTGCTTGGACACTGAGCTCTGTGAACAGCCAGCCTCTTTAGCGATGACCTTTTGTGTCTTGCCCTCCTTGTGCAAGGTGTCGATGGTCGTCTTTTGGACAACTGTCAAGTCAGCAGTCTTCCCCATGATTGTGTAGCCTATAGAACTAGACTGAAAGACCATTTAAAGGCTTTTGCAGGTGGTTTGAGTTAATTAGCTGATTAGAGTGTGGCACCAGGGGCCATCAATTTTGAACCTTTTCACAATATTCTAATTTTCTGATATGATGAATTTGAGATTTTCATTTGTTGTCATTTGTAATCATCAAAATTAAACAAAATAAACATCTGAAATATATGAGTTTGTATGTAATGTATGAATATAATATACAAGTTTCACTTTTTAAATGGAATTACTGAAATCAATCTACTTTTTCATGATATTCTAATTTTATGACCAGCACCTGTATTTGATCCAAATTTCCCTTATATCATGCATCACTTAATGTTGTTCCATCCAAGCATGTCCAATACAATAAAGCTTGAAGCTGCAGCCTTCAAAGGTAAAACCATTCAAGGGGTTTGATTACCTTTGCAAGGCCCTGTAAAGCTGAACTTTTTTCCTTTAAAAAAAAAACATATTTATCCAGAATTTGGCAGCTTCTGCAGATTTCTGTTTCTGCTTAATGCTCAGGTGACTCATCATCCCCCCCATCAGACATCACAGCATGAACACACAGCCTGCTACTTAAAATCATATTTTACCCCCAAACCACACAAGCTGCCGGAGAAAAATTCCTGCATCAGCATCGCTCTTAATGATTTTTACAAGGCTGTGGGAGAAAGATTCATTTCATGGCGCCACTCTGTATACACAGTCATACGTGTAATCAAATACTTAACATGATACATGTAGTACATGGGTGACAGCTTGACATTTGTGAAAAAAGCAATTGACACTTCAACCAAGTGTTTTTCTCATTTCCTGTGCAGTAATGGTGCTAAAGGAGCTTCGGTGAGAAACGCGAAACGGAGCGAGGCAGACACAATAAATTGGAGGCAGAAAACCTCTAAAGCTTTTCCTGCTCTTTGTGGCAGAGCCCAGATTTATTTTTTTTCCCTCTTCCGTCCTTCCTATTTCAAGATATTATTTGTTTTTTCAGAGTTCAAAGCTTAGCAACAAAATCCCAGTTCTGCCAGCTGCCACTCACAGAATATGTTTTCATTAGGAACGGGCCTCTTTCATCAAAGACGTTGGTTTGAGCGTGCATAAAAAGGAAATGAACTGCCTCGGAGACTACGGCTCTCTGGACATGTGGAAGCTCAGACAGAGTTGCATGTGTACATGAATACAATTAGCAGAGAGATGAAGAAGAAAAACAAAAACAGCTGAGAATGTAGGTTTTGTTTTCATATGTTTTTGTTAACGTGATTGTGGCCGTCCAGAGGTTTTATAATGGTTACAGTGTCATGAGCAGATTATTTTTGTTTACAGAAGCCTTGATGTAGCCAGAAATAATACAGTCGCTGACATCAATACAAGGGCATGTCATTCGCTTCTCATTATGAACCGTGTAAACACTGCCAGCGTCTCGGCACACGGAAACAGAGCTGTCTTATCTTGCAGCGGTAGGCCAAAAAAAACAGATTTGGTGCCTTTTAGCTCTCAATGATAGATTTTTAAACTTAGTTCCTAAGAAACGTACAGATTTTGCATTGTTCTTTTGTTTGGAATCACTTTTTTTACCCTTGATTTCTTGTTTTTAGGGAAACCTCCAGATTCATCAGGTGCACGTCGGTCAGGATGGACAGGTAAGAATCAAACCAGGTCACAAAAGACTCATTATTCATCATTTCTCCTTCCATTCTACTTTTGTTATGAAATGAATCCTTACGTCCAACATTTACAATAGGCGTCAAAGCTTCAGAATGGAAAACTCACAACACATTAGGATGATGAGCATCCTAGGGAAGTTTCTGCACTCTGGTACATTACCTTATGCTTTAAGAAACGCAGAGTTATTCAGTACATGGCACATTAAACAAAGCCATCAAAAATAAATTTTAAATGCTTTTATTTTTTGTTTTTCCCAAGAACTTCTATTTAGTGAATCCATATCTTATACCAACAGTTGTGCGTGAATGTCTGAATGTGGTGTAAAGCACTTTGGTCAAGTCCCATGACTTGAAAAAGCACTATAGAGGTACAAGCTATTTGACATTTACCAATTACATTGCAAAATCACAAGAACTGCAGCAAAGATGAGGTTTTCCTGGCTAATCCAATCCCATTTAAAAAGCATTTAAACAAATAACAAAAAAAAACCTTTGCTGACAAAGCTCAGTTGATACTTCTACCACATTTTATGCTTTAGTTTGAAGAAGCTAAGCTTAAGCTTAATGTCAACAAGCACCACTGCTGTATCTAACCTCAAAAAAAAGCTGGGATGTGGGGAAATTCATTCTCAAGTGCGGTGGGCCGGTCGGTCATGTTAAGTCCACAGGAGCCTTGTTAAAGTACAAATCATGTTTGACCAAATCAATGTCAAATAGGCCTCAGTTGTTTAACTATCTACACCTAAAGCACAAGATAAAGGATTCTTCCTCTGTTGTCCTGTTGGAAAAAGGGTCGATATAAAAGATGCTGGCAGGAACAGTTGTACCACTACTGATTTAGTTCAATCCAATCCAATCCACTTTATTTATATAGCACGATTTCAATAAACAAAAGGTTTTCAAAGTGCTGCGCAAAAGGATAAAATAACTAAAATAAATAAAAGTAAATAAAATAAAATAAAAGCACTGCCCGCACAGGATAAAAAATATGCATGTGTATACATAAAATCAACACTCTACAAGGTGTCAAAAGCCAAAGAAAAGAGGTGGGTTTTAAGAAGAGTTTTAAAATGAGACAAAGAGGTGGCCTGTCTAATGTGCAGTGGCAATCCCTTCCAAAGTTTTGGAGCTGCAACAGTTAAAAACTATTAAGTCTGAATGTGTTTTTAAAATGAAATATATGTTTCTAAACATATGTTTCAACATATATTTCAGGGTATGTTTCACTGCAGATAAGCAGGACATCTTGAATTGGACTTTTTTTTTAATAGAAAAGATCTGGGGTCTAATATATAAAACTGCCTATGATCCGTGCTAAAAGTTTATTTACGCCAAACATTGCAAAATGCCGTACATCCCAAAACAATGCAGACCACCTCTCTTTCTTTCCATACTCTACATGTATGTGTCCCTGAGCTGCAGTACAGTTGATCTAATTAATTAGATTTTAAAATGATCATTAGAAACCATGCAAAAAGAGAACATCAGACAGAGATGGAAAAACTTCCAGGTTTTTAAAGTAGCATAGACAATGGTAGGTAGACTATTTTTCTTTTGCTAGCCAATCTTCATCAAATGTTGAGATAACTACAGGTATTAATAGGATAACAGTTATACTTACATTTAACTTGTTGTTCACTTTTTTCAAGAAATACAAAAAATCAAAAGGACTTGAAACCCAAAGTTTTAGTTTTGAGTTTTAGGCCCCGTCCACACGAAGTCAAACCCTGGCCTAAACGCACAAATTTTTCATCAAACCAGCCTCTCATCCATACGAAGCCGGCGTTTCGGGGGTCTGTAAACGATCTTTTTTTTTATCAAGCCTTCAGAGTGGGAAGATTTTGAAACGCTGTTTTCGCGTTTCCATCTTTAAGCTCTAACCGCATTTTTTTTCTTACACGCATGCGTCATAGCGTCGCCTCGAAACACGCATGCGCGACACAGTATCACAACAACAATGGCGCCGTACTGTGTTGAATGGTTGCTGCTCATGCTACTCACCCTGCTGTCGGGCTTACAACAGAATTTTCCTCTTCTGGAATATCTCCAGGAAGAACAGAGCAATATCGACAACATAGTTCATCACCTCAATTTGACTGAACCATGAAAATGGACCCGCAGGGCCATTTTCCGGTTTTCCGATTTGTTTGTTGTATAAATATTACTGCGCATGCCCAACATTTCGTTGCCTGTTTTCACCTATTTTTGCTTTGGCACCACAGCGCCACTTACAGGCCTGGCATACATTTTGCAGCGTTTTCATGCATTCGTGTGGTCGATCACATTTATTTTACGTCTCCGTCTTTATGACAAACGTTCTGGACAATATTAGCGTTTCGTGTTCTTTTTGACTTCGTGTGGACGGGGCCTTATTTGAGATTTCCAAAACAGTGACCTGGTTCCACCTCTGCTGTTAAACCTGAAATGATAATAATTTACTATTTGAACCTATGAGCAAAGTTTCTCTTCTCCCTAGTCAAAGATCAGAGTTTTTCTTTCATAGCTCACTGGGACAACTATTGCTAGTCACATGTGGATGCATAGAGACTGCTATAATTCACATTCATGATTTGATCCTGTTTGTCTAGAGAGAGGGCTTTAGGGGAGGAAGTCTTTTCTCACGCTCGTCGTCTGCTGCCTCCGCTGTTTTGCTTTATTTTGCCAAACAGGTGTTTTTTTTTTTATCACTTATACATACAAGCCTACATTCAGGCTGCCGCTCAATATGGTAAAGTTATAAAAAAGAACAAAACTTTGAAAGTATATACAACAAGTTAGGCTTAAAAGTAAAGTAGGTCACATGGTTAAACATAAGTAGCTTACAAACATAAATATAGTTAGTAATTAAATAAGCAGCACTAATGGGATAAAAATTAAATAGAAAATAATAAGTAAGTATTAAAAAAAAAATACAATAGAAATTGAATAGAATAGAATGAAAGAAAGAAAAAATGATAATAATAAAAAAAAAATAAATAAATAAATAAATAAAACGTTTTACTGCATTAATATGGTCATGGCCGGTTTCCACCTATTAACAAATATGTCTTTTTGAAGCCTCAGGCGATAAGTTATTTGTTCCATATAACAAACAGGTGTTTTATATAACAGCTGAACAACATCTTTTTTTGTTATTTGTTGTTTTCTGATACTTCATATATTCTATGAATTCATTATGAAATAAAAAATGTGTAGAGGTTTATAACCTCTGTATGTTTCCTATTAGGCACTTTTTATTTTTGTTAAGGATGAGCATTATAATGACATTCAAGTGGAGGTTCTCTCCAGTGCTGGATTAAGTTAATGACCACTTCCCTTTAGTATGCGAGAGCTTTTTGCATGAGAAGAGCTGAAACCACCCAATACTAGAGTCACACACTTTTAAACTGAGAGTTCCTCGTTTTATTGGCCTTTTAAGATCTCTATCATTATGTTTTCTTATAGGTTCAAGATGCTATAAGCTTTGCACACATTTGTGATGTGTGAATGCATCTGCTTTATATAAGGGATTTTGTTGTTGTTTGTGCTCTTTACTGGCTGTTTAGCTCCGCGTGTGTTTTCAATTGATTGAGGTAGTCACCACACATCCTGCAGCTCCCCCTCTCTCACACGCTCAATCACACATGCATGGTGGTGTCCTGGAATGACCTGCTCCCTTAGCCCGATGGCAGCATTCCTCCGCGTCTCATGCTCCCTCTCTTTTTCTCTCTCTAGGATCTCGACCAATTTTTGAAGTCAAATTTGGTTTGGATCTGACGCTCATTTCCAAATACTCTTGGGTTCACGAACTACCCATTGAATGATTTCCATTATCTCTGTCAGATTAAGCTGCTTAGTGTGGCATATGCTTTGACACCGGGCCTGCATGTGTTTACAAGTTAAAGTATTTATATGTTAATTGGCTAAAGTAAGACTTTTAAGCTCCCTAAAAGTATGAGAACTAGATCCCTGTATCAACACCAAATTTCCCAAGGCAGTGTTTGGAAGCTTTCTCCAATTGAATGCTCCTTTCTTTCTTCTTTTTTTTCTTCGTGTTTGTGTTGGCCATAAGCTAATATGACTCTGTAAAATCCATCCAGTGTCCCACTCTTTCAACTATTTAGCACAACAATGGCAGTCTCTCTGCTCTCATATTCTCATGGACCAGAGGGCAGGAATAATCTAAGGGCAGCCCTTAAATCAGATTAAACCCAGATAGGTCACCATGACATCCACAGGAAACGGAGATAAGCAAGCATGATCGTAGCTTTAGAGTTTAATCAAGTAGATAAGGCACTGATCAAATCTTTTGTGTACTGCATAGTAATGAAATATTTTGGTTCTATTAGGATAGCTGTTGTGTGTCTTGGAAAAGAGCTCATTGAAACCCTCTACGAAACATAATAATCAAACGGGATTCCGATCTGCTACTCCTTGGATGTTTTGATTTATTTGTTTTACATTTAGGCATGAAGTCACTGTTTTTGTAATAGGCAAATAGTTCTGGCTATGTTGGCGTAGCTTCGCCTACACAGTTCATTACGCCCCAAAGCTTTTTCTCTCTCTTCTCTGGGTTTGTTTCTTCCTCATTATTAAAAGTTTCCTGTGGTGTAGCTGTGGTTACACCTGTTTTTTTAAAGCTCACCTGTCGCTAATAATCACTCCTGGTTACATTTACTATCAAATGGTTTCCCTCACAGGTTGATTGCTGACCGCTCTGAGAAATGTTGCCTAAAAAATCATTGCCAACAAGTTTGAGGGGTGAAGTTTTAGTAGTTTCTCACAGATGGCTTTAAATAGTGGGCTCCTTCAGGGGTTTTGCAACTTGCACGTATGCTCCTCAGTTGTCTGCATCTTGCTTCTTTTTTTTTTTCTGTCTCTGCAGTGTTTTTCTCACTGATATCAAGTATAAAAATACACACACGCAAGCTTTCCTCTGCTCGATCAAGATAATTTATGGAGATGCTATGTGACTTTTATTTGACTGCATCTTTTAA